AGGGACCATGAACTGCACCATGCAGCCCCACACCTTCTTGCCTGTCAGCAGCTGGTGCGGCGTCGTCCCCGGAGGCAGCGTCGACCGCTCCAAGCAGTTGCGCACCCAGACGGCCTGCCGCAGGGCGAGATGCCACCAGTGGTGCTGCACACCCATGTGCAACAGCATCGTGCGCACAGCCTCGACGACCGTACGCATCTCCCTCTCCGCCATGCCGTTCTGCTGCGGAGTGTACGGGCAGGTCAGGTCGTGGACGATTCCCTTGCTGTTGACGAACTTGGTGAAGTCCTTCCCCAGGAACTCGCCTCCGCGGTCGGAGCGGAGCATCATCACCGACTTCTTGGTTTGCCTCTCCACGACCAGCAGCCACTGCTCGAACACGTGCAGCACGTCGCTCTTCTTAGCGACCGGCCTCACCCACACGTAGCGAGTCTTTCGATCCTTCAGCAAAAGGAAGTAGTGGCTGCCATCCTTGGCGGCTACCCGGAACGGTCCGCACAGGTCGATGTGCACGACGGCCAGGGCCTCCTCCGCGTCCGAACCTTTGTCGGGGAAGGTGTGTCGTGCAAGTTTGCCACCTACGCAGGAGACGCACGGCAAATCGGTCCCCGTGGAAGGCGTGATGTCCAGGCCAGTCGCGACATTGTGCTTCGCCGAGCTCTTGATGGTGTCAATGCCAACGTGCGCAAGCCTTGCGTGTCACCTTGGCGGCGTTGACTTCGTTGCCGAAGCAATCGTTCGCAGAGCCACCACCTCAGTCGACTTCGACGACAGCTTTGTCGAGCAAGGTTGAAGATTGGTGCAGAGGACGCGGCCAGTATAGCGTGCTCGACCGAGCACCTCCCCGGTCGCGTTGACGAGCATCGTCTCGTCGCCGTCGTCCTGCAGCAGCACACCATTCTCCTTCAGCTGACCGGCTGACAGCAGGTTCGCCTGCACGCCCGGAACGTAGAGCACGTCGGGGATGAGGACCTGCTTCCCGGCCTCCCCTTGCAGAGCGACGGTGCCTCGGCCCTCGACGGTCTGCAGAGCCCCGTTGAAGCCACGCACATGCTTCACATTGCCGCTCGGCCCCATGTCGACGAAGGCCTCCTTCGTCCCCATGAGGTGGTGTGAGCAACCACTGTCGAGCAGGACCACCATTGGATTCGCCTGCACAGCTGCTGCGACCGCTTTGAAGTCTTCGCCGGCCTCTGGCGCCAGCGAAACAGTCTGCTCCACCATGCTGACCATTGAGCATGAAGCCTCTCCGTCACCTTGCCCCTTGCCGCTGGAGGAGTCAACCTCCTTCGTCGACGATGTCTTCTTCGACGTCTGCTTCTCCTTGCGCGGCTTCTCGTCCCGACTTTGACGACCGTTGGCCGACCTTCCGCGGCCTCCCTTGTGGTCATCGTCGTTAGTGTCTTCTCGGTCGGGGCAGTCATAGGAGAGGTGGTCGGCGCTTCCGACCTCCCACCTCCGCTACCACCTCCGCCAGACTTTCCTCGCTGCCCCTGCGGACGATTCTGCTTCGTCGGTGCAGCGTAACTCGCCTGCGGAAGGAGCTCCGTGGGCTGCTCTGCCTCCTGCATAGCCTCATCTTGAAGGATGTAGCTGGTGATTGAGTCCACGTCGAGTGACTCCCGCGTGCCAGGCACCATCATCATCCTCTTCATGAGGTTGTAGCTACGCGGCAGGCCCTTGACGACATGGGTGTTGTAGGACGCCGTAGAGTATTCGGCGCCTGCCATCCGCATTTCGGCCAGTATCCGTCGAGCACGGTTGCAGTAGTCCGTCGCCGACTCCTGCTCACCCATCCGAAGATGTGTCATCTTCTCCTCTAGCTGTCCGATGTACAGGTCGTCCTTCGCCTGGTACGTCGACAGGATGAAGTGCCATGCTTGGTGACCAGCATCCAGACGCTCTCGACAGCTCCTGAGCGCTAGCTGCACCACCGGCGAGCAGCACCTCGAGATGACCATGAAGGTGAGCAAGTGAGCAGCACGAAACTCCCCGCGCAGCTCGACATCGTCCTCGTGCGGAATTGGCACAGTACCGTCGGCAAAGCCTTTCAGCCCGGCGACCTCCAGCTGAGGTTCAATCGACTCCCTCCAGGTGATGAGGTCACGTCGACCTTGCAACGGTGTGACGGTGATCTTGTCCGGCGAAAACTTGAAGTAGCCATACGTCGGCGCGATCCCGCCAGCCGTCACATGCGTTGTCGCCGAGGGACTTCCACCGCTGCGTTGAGGAGAGCGTCGTCGACCATCAACGTCGACACGCGAGTTGCCTGCAGCCGCCGTCGACCGCTGCACTCGCGCTTGACTCCCGCCAACACCACCGTCGGCAGACCTGAGCACTCCTATCTGCCTTGTGCCATCATTGTCATTGACTCGTGCACCGCCGTCGACCTCGTCGTCGACGCCACCTTCGTTTCGCACCGGTCGAGGAGATGCAGGACGGGAAGGGTGCTCCGTCGCCCATTGCGCCCTGATGCCCAACTCAACGATCGCCAAGGGGATCGTCCCGTACTCGCCAGCCTCGTGGCGTCTCCTCGCATTTGCTAATCGTGTCTCCAAGGTGTCCGCTACGCCCGCTTCTACAACGGGGTCGACCATGGCGACTAACGCTGCTGCCGGCCTACGAACGACTTAGTAGGTGCAAAAGTCGGCTCCTATCTAAGGTCACGTGTTCGTTCCACGCTCACCGCACCATGAGGAGATAAACTCTACAACGGTGGGAGCTAGACTACTAGGTAGGCACGAGTTGTAGGAGTGATCGTAGCTCTGTCTGTGTTCTCTAGGACTTGTGTTTTCACAGGGCAAAACAGCAAGAGTTTCACTAAGGAAAGTTGAGAATAACAGAGTTCAGAATGAACATGCAATGGCAAAGACTGACTACATCACATGCAAGGTTTGCTAGCACTCAGGCAGGTCGACTGCCAGCACGACAAAGTCGTCGACCTGCCAACGAAGCAAGTCCGCGATCCGCCAACGCAGCTCGTACGCGACTTGCCAACGTTGCAGATGGCAGCCTGCCAACGCTGCACCCGCGCGGCTTGCCAACGCAGCATCCGCGCGGCTTGCCAACATTGCATCCGCAGGTGATTGTAAGCGCATGTGCAAGCACCTACTTCGCAGGTGCTTGTAGACAGTTATGCACAACGTGCACTGTCAAGTACATTGCGCAGGTTGTCAGCCACATGCTGACGGTTGCACATGATGAGCCACGTCGACCACGTGCTGCCACGTCGGTCGACTTCGCCACAGCAGCCTCGACGACGTTCGCACACCTTCGCGCACCTCGTCGAGCAGGTAACTTGGTCAACTAGGTAAGGTAAATGACATCTCTGCAGGATGATGACCTTCGTCATCACCGGTTGACGACCTTCGTCGTCGCGGGTTGACGACCTTCGTCGTCGGGGGTCGACAACCTTCGTCGGCCATCTTCGTCGAGCACCTCGGTCGACATTTCAAAATGTCAGCCCCTGATTGGTCGAAATTAGGGCACATTCGAATTTCTGGCCAAAATTCGCCTGTGCAGTCTCAATGTTGCGCAGGGTCAAACGCGACCTTACGCAGACGGACACCCGCGAACTTCTGCACCAGCTGCGCCACTCTGGTCGACGAACTGCTTCGTCGACCATCCTCGTTGAACTCCTTCGTCGAACTCCTTTGTCGACGAAGTCACAGTGGTTCCGCGCAGGTCGACGACCACCTTCGTCGACCTCTGCGGAAGGTCGGCTGCACCTCCCACACACCCGACCACAAGTCAATTTGCCCATGCGAGGGCGGGGCCAATTTCCTTCAACATAGCATAGGTATAGTGAATGGCTAGCTAGGCAGGGTTTGCGGGATCGCGAAGGTTGGGTGCTGGTTCGGGTTGACAAACCCGAAGGCAACGTGGAGTACGTTCGGGGGGCGAGGTCTGCGGACCGAGCCTGGTCTTCCGAAAGTTGGGGTTGTAGGCGCACTGTTAAGAGTTGTATGAAAGAAGAGTGTGCAGTATGCAATAACGCACAAGTGATTACAACTACTCATCAAACAATGAAGCCTAGTATTAATATAGCGAAGGCTAGCTAGGTTGAAGTTGCGGGACTGATGGATGGGTGCAGATTCGGGGTTAGGGGACCCGAAGGCGACGTGATAGTGGTTCGGAGGGCGAGGTTATCAGACCAAGCCTGGATTTCCGAAAGTTGGAGTTGTACGCGTACAGTGTAATCTAGTAAGGAATTAGGAGTACAGCAGCAGTATACATTTGAAAGTACTGTTGATTTTGGAACAGTACCCACCAAAAGCAAACCCCAACGAAAACGAACAGGCTTGGCGAGAGGGTCGGCGAAAGTTTGGAAGGCTGTTAGTTGCGAACACGAGAAACTCTCCCGTCACCCAACACCTAGAGTGACACTCAGACACTAGGAAATGCCTTTCCACAGGCAATATAATAGGTGACTAAGGGGGCCGAGGAGTAGCGGTACCACTAAGAAACTCGCTGTTGGTAAGGGGACACGTGTCACAAGCATTTCTACAACACCCTACTCTCTGATGACTAGACTCGTTCTAAGGCCTCGCACGCGATGTAGGAATAGCCTTCGAAGATGCGCGCCGCATTCCATGCGCTCTCCTCGCTGGCGATATTCTCGCGAAACCTGCAGCTCGATTGCCGAACCCGCAGCTCACGACACCCTCTTAGCGCGTCACCCGCGACTAGCCTAATGCCACTCTGCGCGCCCCACCGCTTAGTGCCTAACCGCTAAGCGCCTCACAGCGAAAAGCGCACGATCGCTAAGCGAGCGCCTCACCGCATAGCGCCTCACCGCTCACGCACTGCGATTCCTCTCAAGTTCTAGTGCAGGCGAGTGCTTCTCGAACCCATAGCTCGCCTCTCTTAGCACGCTCACCCTCTGCTGGCCTCATCTGCTGCTCGCGTCTCTGGGCGAATGTCGAATTCGCCCAAAATGCTGCGCTCCGCGAGGCGTTCGCCTCACGCGCTGCTTGCCACCGTTGAATGGGCGCATCGCCATGAATGCGGGGAGCCCGTCGTCCAACCTCCTTCCCCGGACCTCTCATTTCCCCTCCCTGTTCCCTCATTTCCCCCCCTCCCTCTCTCTTTTCCCCCACTACTCCTACCCCTTGTTTCCCCCTCTGCTTACCCTCGTTCCCCCCTCTTTTTTCCCTTCTTTCCCCCTCTCCTCTCCCTCGTTCCCCCCTCTCCATCCCATCATTTCCCCCTCTGCTTCCCCTCGTTCCCCCTCTCCATCCCCTGATTTCCCCCTCCTTTCCCCCACTGCTTCCCCTCCTTTCCCTCACTTCTTCGCCTCCTTTCCCCCGCTGCTTCCCCTACTTTCCCCCACTGCTTCCCCTCCTTTCCCCCGCTGCTTCCCCTCCTTTCCCCCACTGCTTCCCCTCCTTTCCCCCGCTGCTTCCCCTCCTTTCCCCCACTGCTTCCCCTCCTTTCCCCCGCTGCTTCCCCTCCTTTCCCCCGCTGCTTCCCCTCCTTTCCCCCTCTCCTTCACCTCATTTCCCCCGCTGCTTCCCCTCCTTTCCCCCGCTGCTTCCCCTCGTTTCTCCCGCTGCTTCCCCTCCTTTTCCCCGCTGCTTCCCCTCCTTTCCCCCGCTGCTTCCCCTCCTTTCCCCCACTGCTTCCCCTCCTTTCCCCCGCTGCTTCCCCTCCTTCCCCCCGTTTCCCTCACTGCCTCCGCTACCGCTGCCCTTCTCTCACCTGTCCATCCCTTGCCTCCCCTTCGCATCCGTCTAAAGCTGTGAGCGAAATCAGACACAACTTTCCCTCACATCCCCTCTCCCTCCCCCGTTTGTTACCCATCCCTCCCCCTGTTTGTTACCCATCCCTCCCCCTGTTTGTTACCCATCCCTCTCCTCCACCCATCCATCTCCCTCTCCTTCCCCTCGTTCCCCCCTCTCCTTCCCCTCGTTCCCCCTCGCCTTCCCCTCGTTCCCCCCTCTCCTTCCCCTCGTTCCCCCTCTCCTTCCCCTCGTTCCCCCCTCTCCTTCCCCTCGTTCCCCCCTCTCCTTCCCCTCGTTCCCCCCTCTCCTTCTCCTCGTTCCCCCCCTCTCCTTCCCCTCGTTCCCCCCTCTCCTTCACCTCATTACCCCCTCTCTGCTTCCCCTCGTTCCCCCCCCTCATCCTTGTTCACCCCACAAGTTCCCCTCATTTCCTCTCATCACCTCCCCTGCTCCCTCTCACTACCTCCCCTGCTCCCTCTCACTACCTCCCCAGCTTCCAATCTTTTCTCCCTCTGCTTCCCCTCGTTTCTCCCTCTCTTTCCCTTCATTTCCGTCCCTGCTTCTCCTTTGCCTGCTTTCTCTTCGATTGCGTCTTGCCCACAGTTCCCCCCTTACCCTCCTTCCTCTGTTGTTTTCTATGCTACCGTATCACCCTCCTTTCTCTGAGTTTTTCACCCCTTCTTACGCTTTGTCTCCCCACCTGCTTGCCCTTGTTCGTCTCCACCCCCTTACCCTCCCCCCAACCCGCTCTTCCTGCACGCTTGTACTCTGTCCTCCGGTTTTCCAGATCATCGTTACTCGATATCTGCTCTGTGCAGCATGGAGCACAGTGAAGTAGTAATCTCAGTCTACAATGTGTGTGCCTCAATGTATCTAGCCATAACATGGTATTACAACTCATTTACATTCTGAATAATGGTAGTGGAATCCAATGGTTGTCATGTGACCTCTGTTCTTTCAAATGGGCACAGTACAGCATTGGTGTAGAGAAGAGAAGCTTGAGAGGAGTATGTACACATGATAAAATCATCGCAAAACATTGTACAAGACAGCACCTTCCACTACTCTGTGTGTCGCCTTCATTCCCCCCCAAACTCTTGGACCTGCTGCTCCTCCCTTCATGTCGCCAAAATTGCCCAGGCCTGGCTTTGCCCTGTGTGTAGCAGGATTGTTTGCAAAACCTGCAGCTTTGCGTGTGTATACTGGCTGTATGACACGTGGTGTCGCAACCGTAAATAGTGGGTCCCCGAACCTATGGGAGGGAAGGCAGGGATGTGAGGAGGGAAGGCAGGGATGTGAGGAGGGAAGGCAGGGATGTGAGGAGGGAAGGCAGGGATGTGAGGAGGGAAGGCAGGGATGTGAGGAGGGAAGGCAGGGATGTGAGGAGGGAAGGCAGGGATGTGAGGAGGGAAGGCAGGGATGTGAGGAGGGAAGGCAGGGATGTGAGGAGGGAAGGCAGGGATGTGAGGAGGGAAGGCAGGGATGTGAGGAGGGAAGGCAGGGATGTGAGGAGGGAAGGCAGGGATGTGAGGAGGGAAGGCAGGGATGTGAGGAGGGAAGGCAGGGATGTGAGGAGGGAAGGCAGGGATGTGAGGAGGGAAGGCAGGGATGTGAGGAGGGAAGGCAGGGATGTGAGGAGGGAAGGCAGGGATGTGAGGAGGGAAGGCAGGGATGTGAGGAGGGAAGGCAGGGATGTGAGGAGGGAAGGCAGGGATGTGAGGAGGGAAGGCAGGGATGTGAGGAGGGAAGGCAGGGATGTGAGGAGGGAAGGCAGGGATGTGAGGAGGGAAGGCAGGGATGTGAGGAGGGAAGGCAGGGATGTGAGGAGGGAAGGCAGGGATGTGAGGAGGGAAGGCAGGGATGTGAGGAGGGAAGGCAGGGATGTGAGGAGGGAAGGCAGGGATGTGAGGAGGGAAGGCAGGGATGTGAGGAGGGAAGGCAGGGATGTGAGGAGGGAAGGCAGGGATGTGAGGAGGGAAGGCAGGGATGTGAGGAGGGAAGGCAGGGATGTGAGGAGGGAAGGCAGGGATGTGAGGAGGGAAGGCAGGGATGTGAGGAGGGAAGGCAGGGATGTGAGGAGGGAAGGCAGGGATGTGAGGAGGGAAGGCAGGGATGTGAGGAGGGAAGGCAGGGATGTGAGGAGGGAAGGCAGGGATGTGAGGAGGGAAGGCAGGGATGTGAGGAGGGAAGGCAGGGATGTGAGGAGGGAAGGCAGGGATGTGAGGAGGGAAGGCAGGGATGTGAGGAGGGAAGGCAGGGATGTGAGGAGGGAAGGCAGGGATGTGAGGAGGGAAGGCAGGGATGTGAGGAGGGAAGGCAGGGATGTGAGGAGGGAAGGCAGGGATGTGAGGAGGGAAGGCAGGGATGTGAGGAGGGAAGGCAGGGATGTGAGGAGGGAAGGCAGGGATGTGAGGAGGGAAGGCAGGGATGTGAGGAGGGAAGGCAGGGATGTGAGGAGGGAAGGCAGGGATGTGAGGAGGGAAGGCAGGGATGTGAGGAGGGAAGGCAGGGATGTGAGGAGGGAAGGCAGGGATGTGAGGAGGGAAGGCAGGGATGTGAGGAGGGAAGGCAGGGATGTGAGGAGGGAAGGCAGGGATGTGAGGAGGGAAGGCAGGGATGTGAGGAGGGAAGGCAGGGATGTGAGGAGGGAAGGCAGGGATGTGAGGAGGGAAGGCAGGGATGTGAGGAGGGAAGGCAGGGATGTGAGGAGGGAAGGCAGGGATGTGAGGAGGGAAGGCAGGGATGTGAGGAGGGAAGGCAGGGATGTGAGGAGGGAAGGCAGGGATGTGAGGAGGGAAGGCAGGGATGTGAGGAGGGAAGGCAGGGATGTGAGGAGGGAAGGCAGGGATGTGAGGAGGGAAGGCAGGGATGTGAGGAGGGAAGGCAGGGATGTGAGGAGGGAAGGCAGGGATGTGAGGAGGGAAGGCAGGGATGTGAGGAGGGAAGGCAGGGATGTGAGGAGGGAAGGCAGGGATGTGAGGAGGGAAGGCAGGGATGTGAGGAGGGAAGGCAGGGATGTGAGGAGGGAAGGCAGGGATGTGAGGAGGGAAGGCAGGGATGTGAGGAGGGAAGGCAGGGATGTGAGGAGGGAAGGCAGGGATGTGAGGAGGGAAGGCAGGGATGTGAGGAGGGAAGGCAGGGATGTGAGGAGGGAAGGCAGGGATGTGAGGAGGGAAGGCAGGGATGTGAGGAGGGAAGGCAGGGATGTGAGGAGGGAAGGCAGGGATGTGAGGAGGGAAGGCAGGGATGTGAGGAGGGAAGGCAGGGATGTGAGGAGGGAAGGCAGGGATGTGAGGAGGGAAGGCAGGGATGTGAGGAGGGAAGGCAGGGATGTGAGGAGGGAAGGCAGGGATGTGAGGAGGGAAGGCAGGGATGTGAGGAGGGAAGGCAGGGATGTGAGGAGGGAAGGCAGGGATGTGAGGAGGGAAGGCAGGGATGTGAGGAGGGAAGGCAGGGATGTGAGGAGGGAAGGCAGGGATGTGAGGAGGGAAGGCAGGGATGTGAGGAGGGAAGGCAGGGATGTGAGGAGGGAAGGCAGGGATGTGAGGAGGGAAGGCAGGGATGTGAGGAGGGAAGGCAGGGATGTGAGGAGGGAAGGCAGGGATGTGAGGAGGGAAGGCAGGGATGTGAGGAGGGAAGGCAGGGATGTGAGGAGGGAAGGCAGGGATGTGAGGAGGGAAGGCAGGGATGTGAGGAGGGAAGGCAGGGATGTGAGGAGGGAAGGCAGGGATGTGAGGAGGGAAGGCAGGGATGTGAGGAGGGAAGGCAGGGATGTGAGGAGGGAAGGCAGGGATGTGAGGAGGGAAGGCAGGGATGTGAGGAGGGAAGGCAGGGATGTGAGGAGGGAAGGCAGGGATGTGAGGAGGGAAGGCAGGGATGTGAGGAGGGAAGGCAGGGATGTGAGGAGGGAAGGCAGGGATGTGAGGAGGGAAGGCAGGGATGTGAGGAGGGAAGGCAGGGATGTGAGGAGGGAAGGCAGGGATGTGAGGAGGGAAGGCAGGGATGTGAGGAGGGAAGGCAGGGATGTGAGGAGGGAAGGCAGGGATGTGAGGAGGGAAGGCAGGGATGTGAGGAGGGAAGGCAGGGATGTGAGGAGGGAAGGCAGGGATGTGAGGAGGGAAGGCAGGGATGTGAGGAGGGAAGGCAGGGATGTGAGGAGGGAAGGCAGGGATGTGAGGAGGGAAGGCAGGGATGTGAGGAGGGAAGGCAGGGATGTGAGGAGGGAAGGCAGGGATGTGAGGAGGGAAGGCAGGGATGTGAGGAGGGAAGGCAGGGATGTGAGGAGGGAAGGCAGGGATGTGAGGAGGGAAGGCAGGGATGTGAGGAGGGAAGGCAGGGATGTGAGGAGGGAAGGCAGGGATGTGAGGAGGGAAGGCAGGGATGTGAGGAGGGAAGGCAGGGATGTGAGGAGGGAAGGCAGGGATGTGAGGAGGGAAGGCAGGGATGTGAGGAGGGAAGGCAGGGATGTGAGGAGGGAAGGCAGGGATGTGAGGAGGGAAGGCAGGGATGTGAGGAGGGAAGGCAGGGATGTGAGGAGGGAAGGCAGGGATGTGAGGAGGGAAGGCAGGGATGTGAGGAGGGAAGGCAGGGATGTGAGGAGGGAAGGCAGGGATGTGAGGAGGGAAGGCAGGGATGTGAGGAGGGAAGGCAGGGATGTGAGGAGGGAAGGCAGGGATGTGAGGAGGGAAGGCAGGGATGTGAGGAGGGAAGGCAGGGATGTGAGGAGGGAAGGCAGGGATGTGAGGAGGGAAGGCAGGGATGTGAGGAGGGAAGGCAGGGATGTGAGGAGGGAAGGCAGGGATGTGAGGAGGGAAGGCAGGGATGTGAGGAGGGAAGGCAGGGATGTGAGGAGGGAAGGCAGGGATGTGAGGAGGGAAGGCAGGGATGTGAGGAGGGAAGGCAGGGATGTGAGGAGGGAAGGCAGGGATGTGAGGAGGGAAGGCAGGGATGTGAGGAGGGAAGGCAGGGATGTGAGGAGGGAAGGCAGGGATGTGAGGAGGGAAGGCAGGGATGTGAGGAGGGAAGGCAGGGATGTGAGGAGGGAAGGCAGGGATGTGAGGAGGGAAGGCAGGGATGTGAGGAGGGAAGGCAGGGATGTGAGGAGGGAAGGCAGGGATGTGAGGAGGGAAGGCAGGGATGTGAGGAGGGAAGGCAGGGATGTGAGGAGGGAAGGCAGGGATGTGAGGAGGGAAGGCAGGGATGTGAGGAGGGAAGGCAGGGATGTGAGGAGGGAAGGCAGGGATGTGAGGAGGGAAGGCAGGGATGTGAGGAGGGAAGGCAGGGATGTGAGGAGGGAAGGCAGGGATGTGAGGAGGGAAGGCAGGGATGTGAGGAGGGAAGGCAGGGATGTGAGGAGGGAAGGCAGGGATGTGAGGAGGGAAGGCAGGGATGTGAGGAGGGAAGGCAGGGATGTGAGGAGGGAAGGCAGGGATGTGAGGAGGGAAGGCAGGGATGTGAGGAGGGAAGGCAGGGATGTGAGGAGGGAAGGCAGGGATGTGAGGAGGGAAGGCAGGGATGTGAGGAGGGAAGGCAGGGATGTGAGGAGGGAAGGCAGGGATGTGAGGAGGGAAGGCAGGGATGTGAGGAGGGAAGGCAGGGATGTGAGGAGGGAAGGCAGGGATGTGAGGAGGGAAGGCAGGGATGTGAGGAGGGAAGGCAGGGATGTGAGGAGGGAAGGCAGGGATGTGAGGAGGGAAGGCAGGGATGTGAGGAGGGAAGGCAGGGATGTGAGGAGGGAAGGCAGGGATGTGAGGAGGGAAGGCAGGGATGTGAGGAGGGAAGGCAGGGATGTGAGGAGGGAAGGCAGGGATGTGAGGAGGGAAGGCAGGGATGTGAGGAGGGAAGGCAGGGATGTGAGGAGGGAAGGCAGGGATGTGAGGAGGGAAGGCAGGGATGTGAGGAGGGAAGGCAGGGATGTGAGGAGGGAAGGCAGGGATGTGAGGAGGGAAGGCAGGGATGTGAGGAGGGAAGGCAGGGATGTGAGGAGGGAAGGCAGGGATGTGAGGAGGGAAGGCAGGGATGTGAGGAGGGAAGGCAGGGATGTGAGGAGGGAAGGCAGGGATGTGAGGAGGGAAGGCAGGGATGTGAGGAGGGAAGGCAGGGATGTGAGGAGGGAAGGCAGGGATGTGAGGAGGGAAGGCAGGGATGTGAGGAGGGAAGGCAGGGATGTGAGGAGGGAAGGCAGGGATGTGAGGAGGGAAGGCAGGGATGTGAGGAGGGAAGGCAGGGATGTGAGGAGGGAAGGCAGGGATGTGAGGAGGGAAGGCAGGGATGTGAGGAGGGAAGGCAGGGATGTGAGGAGGGAAGGCAGGGATGTGAGGAGGGAAGGCAGGGATGTGAGGAGGGAAGGCAGGGATGTGAGGAGGGAAGGCAGGGATGTGAGGAGGGAAGGCAGGGATGTGAGGAGGGAAGGCAGGGATGTGAGGAGGGAAGGCAGGGATGTGAGGAGGGAAGGCAGGGATGTGAGGAGGGAAGGCAGGGATGTGAGGAGGGAAGGCAGGGATGTGAGGAGGGAAGGCAGGGATGTGAGGAGGGAAGGCAGGGATGTGAGGAGGGAAGGCAGGGATGTGAGGAGGGAAGGCAGGGATGTGAGGAGGGAAGGCAGGGATGTGAGGAGGGAAGGCAGGGATGTGAGGAGGGAAGGCAGGGATGTGAGGAGGGAAGGCAGGGATGTGAGGAGGGAAGGCAGGGATGTGAGGAGGGAAGGCAGGGATGTGAGGAGGGAAGGCAGGGATGTGAGGAGGGAAGGCAGGGATGTGAGGAGGGAAGGCAGGGATGTGAGGAGGGAAGGCAGGGATGTGAGGAGGGAAGGCAGGGATGTGAGGAGGGAAGGCAGGGATGTGAGGAGGGAAGGCAGGGATGTGAGGAGGGAAGGCAGGGATGTGAGGAGGGAAGGCAGGGATGTGAGGAGGGAAGGCAGGGATGTGAGGAGGGAAGGCAGGGATGTGAGGAGGGAAGGCAGGGATGTGAGGAGGGAAGGCAGGGATGTGAGGAGGGAAGGCAGGGATGTGAGGAGGGAAGGCAGGGATGTGAGGAGGGAAGGCAGGGATGTGAGGAGGGAAGGCAGGGATGTGAGGAGGGAAGGCAGGGATGTGAGGAGGGAAGGCAGGGATGTGAGGAGGGAAGGCAGGGATGTGAGGAGGGAAGGCAGGGATGTGAGGAGGGAAGGCAGGGATGTGAGGAGGGAAGGCAGGGATGTGAGGAGGGAAGGCAGGGATGTGAGGAGGGAAGGCAGGGATGTGAGGAGGGAAGGCAGGGATGTGAGGAGGGAAGGCAGGGATGTGAGGAGGGAAGGCAGGGATGTGAGGAGGGAAGGCAGGGATGTGAGGAGGGAAGGCAGGGATGTGAGGAGGGAAGGCAGGGATGTGAGGAGGGAAGGCAGGGATGTGAGGAGGGAAGGCAGGGATGTGAGGAGGGAAGGCAGGGATGTGAGGAGGGAAGGCAGGGATGTGAGGAGGGAAGGCAGGGATGTGAGGAGGGAAGGCAGGGATGTGAGGAGGGAAGGCAGGGATGTGAGGAGGGAAGGCAGGGATGTGAGGAGGGAAGGCAGGGATGTGAGGAGGGAAGGCAGGGATGTGAGGAGGGAAGGCAGGGATGTGAGGAGGGAAGGCAGGGATGTGAGGAGGGAAGGCAGGGATGTGAGGAGGGAAGGCAGGGATGTGAGGAGGGAAGGCAGGGATGTGAGGAGGGAAGGCAGGGATGTGAGGAGGGAAGGCAGGGATGTGAGGAGGGAAGGCAGGGATGTGAGGAGGGAAGGCAGGGATGTGAGGAGGGAAGGCAGGGATGTGAGGAGGGAAGGCAGGGATGTGAGGAGGGAAGGCAGGGATGTGAGGAGGGAAGGCAGGGATGTGAGGAGGGAAGGCAGGGATGTGAGGAGGGAAGGCAGGGATGTGAGGAGGGAAGGCAGGGATGTGAGGAGGGAAGGCAGGGATGTGAGGAGGGAAGGCAGGGATGTGAGGAGGGAAGGCAGGGATGTGAGGAGGGAAGGCAGGGATGTGAGGAGGGAAGGCAGGGATGTGAGGAGGGAAGGCAGGGATGTGAGGAGGGAAGGCAGGGATGTGAGGAGGGAAGGCAGGGATGTGAGGAGGGAAGGCAGGGATGTGAGGAGGGAAGGCAGGGATGTGAGGAGGGAAGGCAGGGATGTGAGGAGGGAAGGCAGGGATGTGAGGAGGGAAGGCAGGGATGTGAGGAGGGAAGGCAGGGATGTGAGGAGGGAAGGCAGGGATGTGAGGAGGGAAGGCAGGGATGTGAGGAGGGAAGGCAGGGATGTGAGGAGGGAAGGCAGGGATGTGAGGAGGGAAGGCAGGGATGTGAGGAGGGAAGGCAGGGATGTGAGGAGGGAAGGCAGGGATGTGAGGAGGGAAGGCAGGGATGTGAGGAGGGAAGGCAGGGATGTGAGGAGGGAAGGCAGGGATGTGAGGAGGGAAGGCAGGGATGTGAGGAGGGAAGGCAGGGATGTGAGGAGGGAAGGCAGGGATGTGAGGAGGGAAGGCAGGGATGTGAGGAGGGAAGGCAGGGATGTGAGGAGGGAAGGCAGGGATGTGAGGAGGGAAGGCAGGGATGTGAGGAGGGAAGGCAGGGATGTGAGGAGGGAAGGCAGGGATGTGAGGAGGGAAGGCAGGGATGTGAGGAGGGAAGGCAGGGATGTGAGGAGGGAAGGCAGGGATGTGAGGAGGGAAGGCAGGGATGTGAGGAGGGAAGGCAGGGATGTGAGGAGGGAAGGCAGGGATGTGAGGAGGGAAGGCAGGGATGTGAGGAGGGAAGGCAGGGATGTGAGGAGGGAAGGCAGGGATGTGAGGAGGGAAGGCAGGGATGTGAGGAGGGAAGGCAGGGATGTGAGGAGGGAAGGCAGGGATGTGAGGAGGGAAGGCAGGGATGTGAGGAGGGAAGGCAGGGATGTGAGGAGGGAAGGCAGGGATGTGAGGAGGGAAGGCAGGGATGTGAGGAGGGAAGGCAGGGATGTGAGGAGGGAAGGCAGGGATGTGAGGAGGGAAGGCAGGGATGTGAGGAGGGAAGGCAGGGATGTGAGGAGGGAAGGCAGGGATGTGAGGAGGGAAGGCAGGGATGTGAGGAGGGAAGGCAGGGATGTGAGGAGGGAAGGCAGGGATGTGAGGAGGGAAGGCAGGGATGTGAGGAGGGAAGGCAGGGATGTGAGGAGGGAAGGCAGGGATGTGAGGAGGGAAGGCAGGGATGTGAGGAGGGAAGGCAGGGATGTGAGGAGGGAAGGCAGGGATGTGAGGAGGGAAGGCAGGGATGTGAGGAGGGAAGGCAGGGATGTGAGGAGGGAAGGCAGGGATGTGAGGAGGGAAGGCAGGGATGTGAGGAGGGAAGGCAGGGATGTGAGGAGGGAAGGCAGGGATGTGAGGAGGGAAGGCAGGGATGTGAGGAGGGAAGGCAGGGATGTGAGGAGGGAAGGCAGGGATGTGAGGAGGGAAGGCAGGGATGTGAGGAGGGAAGGCAGGGATGTGAGGAGGGAAGGCAGGGATGTGAGGAGGGAAGGCAGGGATGTGAGGAGGGAAGGCAGGGATGTGAGGAGGGAAGGCAGGGATGTGAGGAGGGAAGGCAGGGATGTGAGGAGGGAAGGCAGGGATGTGAGGAGGGAAGGCAGGGATGTGAGGAGGGAAGGCAGGGATGTGAGGAGGGAAGGCAGGGATGTGAGGAGGGAAGGCAGGGATGTGAGGAGGGAAGGCAGGGATGTGAGGAGGGAAGGCAGGGATGTGAGGAGGGAAGGCAGGGATGTGAGGAGGGAAGGCAGGGATGTGAGGAGGGAAGGCAGGGATGTGAGGAGGGAAGGCAGGGATGTGAGGAGGGAAGGCAGGGATGTGAGGAGGGAAGGCAGGGATGTGAGGAGGGAAGGCAGGGATGTGAGGAGGGAAGGCAGGGATGTGAGGAGGGAAGGCAGGGATGTGAGGAGGGAAGGCAGGGATGTGAGGAGGGAAGGCAGGGATGTGAGGAGGGAAGGCAGGGATGTGAGGAGGGAAGGCAGGGATGTGAGGAGGGAAGGCAGGGATGTGAGGAGGGAAGGCAGGGATGTGAGGAGGGAAGGCAGGGATGTGAGGAGGGAAGGCAGGGATGTGAGGAGGGAAGGCAGGGATGTGAGGAGGGAAGGCAGGGATGTGAGGAGGGAAGGCAGGGATGTGAGGAGGGAAGGCAGGGATGTGAGGAGGGAAGGCAGGGATGTGAGGAGGGAAGGCAGGGATGTGAGGAGGGAAGGCAGGGATGTGAGGAGGGAAGGCAGGGATGTGAGGAGGGAAGGCAGGGATGTGAGGAGGGAAGGCAGGGATGTGAGGAGGGAAGGCAGGGATGTGAGGAGGGAAGGCAGGGATGTGAGGAGGGAAGGCAGGGATGTGAGGAGGGAAGGCAGGGATGTGAGGAGGGAAGGCAGGGATGTGAGGAGGGAAGGCAGGGATGTGAGGAGGGAAGGCAGGGATGTGAGGAGGGAAGGCAGGGATGTGAGGAGGGAAGGCAGGGATGTGAGGAGGGAAGGCAGGGATGTGAGGAGGGAAGGCAGGGATGTGAGGAGGGAAGGCAGGGATGTGAGGAGGGAAGGCAGGGATGTGAGGAGGGAAGGCAGGGATGTGAGGAGGGAAGGCAGGGATGTGAGGAGGGAAGGCAGGGATGTGAGGAGGGAAGGCAGGGATGTGAGGAGGGAAGGCAGGGATGTGAGGAGGGAAGGCAGGGATGTGAGGAGGGAAGGCAGGGATGTGAGGAGGGAAGGCAGGGATGTGAGGAGGGAAGGCAGGGATGTGAGGAGGGAAGGCAGGGATGTGAGGAGGGAAGGCAGGGATGTGAGGAGGGAAGGCAGGGATGTGAGGAGGGAAGGCAGGGATGTGAGGAGGGAAGGCAGGGATGTGAGGAGGGAAGGCAGGGATGTGAGGAGGGAAGGCAGGGATGTGAGGAGGGAAGGCAGGGATGTGAGGAGGGAAGGCAGGGATGTGAGGAGGGAAGGCAGGGATGTGAGGAGGGAAGGCAGGGATGTGAGGAGGGAAGGCAGGGATGTGAGGAGGGAAGGCAGGGATGTGAGGAGGGAAGGCAGGGATGTGAGGAGGGAAGGCAGGGATGTGAGGAGGGAAGGCAGGGATGTGAGGAGGGAAGGCAGGGATGTGAGGAGGGAAGGCAGGGATGTGAGGAGGGAAGGCAGGGATGTGAGGAGGGAAGGCAGGGATGTGAGGAGGGAAGGCAGGGATGTGAGGAGGGAAGGCAGGGATGTGAGGAGGGAAGGCAGGGATGTGAGGAGGGAAGGCAGGGATGTGAGGAGGGAAGGCAGGGATGTGAGGAGGGAAGGCAGGGATGTGAGGAGGGAAGGCAGGGATGTGAGGAGGGAAGGCAGGGATGTGAGGAGGGAAGGCAGGGATGTGAGGAGGGAAGGCAGGGATGTGAGGAGGGAAGGCAGGGATGTGAGGAGGGAAGGCAGGGATGTGAGGAGGGAAGGCAGGGATGTGAGGAGGGAAGGCAGGGATGTGAGGAGGGAAGGCAGGGATGTGAGGAGGGAAGGCAGGGATGTGAGGAGGGAAGGCAGGGATGTGAGGAGGGAAGGCAGGGATGTGAGGAGGGAAGGCAGGGATGTGAGGAGGGAAGGCAGGGATGTGAGGAGGGAAGGCAGGGATGTGAGGAGGGAAGGCAGGGATGTGAGGAGGGAAGGCAGGGATGTGAGGAGGGAAGGCAGGGATGTGAGGAGGGAAGGCAGGGATGTGAGGAGGGAAGGCAGGGATGTGAGGAGGGAAGGCAGGGATGTGAGGAGGGAAGGCAGGGATGTGAGGAGGGAAGGCAGGGATGTGAGGAGGGAAGGCAGGGATGTGAGGAGGGAAGGCAGGGATGTGAGGAGGGAAGGCAGGGATGTGAGGAGGGAAGGCAGGGATGTGAGGAGGGAAGGCAGGGATGTGAGGAGGGAAGGCAGGGATGTGAGGAGGGAAGGCAGGGATGTGAGGAGGGAAGGCAGGGATGTGAGGAGGGAAGGCAGGGATGTGAGGAGGGAAGGCAGGGATGTGAGGAGGGAAGGCAGGGATGTGAGGAGGGAAGGCAGGGATGTGAGGAGGGAAGGCAGGGATGTGAGGAGGGAAGGCAGGGATGTGAGGAGGGAAGGCAGGGATGTGAGGAGGGAAGGCAGGGATGTGAGGAGGGAAGGCAGGGATGTGAGGAGGGAAGGCAGGGATGTGAGGAGGGAAGGCAGGGATGTGAGGAGGGAAGGCAGGGATGTGAGGAGGGAAGGCAGGGATGTGAGGAGGGAAGGCAGGGATGTGAGGAGGGAAGGCAGGGATGTGAGGAGGGAAGGCAGGGATGTGAGGAGGGAAGGCAGGGATGTGAGGAGGGAAGGCAGGGATGTGAGGAGGGAAGGCAGGGATGTGAGGAGGGAAGGCAGGGATGTGAGGAGGGAAGGCAGGGATGTGAGGAGGGAAGGCAGGGATGTGAGGAGGGAAGGCAGGGATGTGAGGAGGGAAGGCAGGGATGTGAGGAGGGAAGGCAGGGATGTGAGGAGGGAAGGCAGGGATGTGAGGAGGGAAGGCAGGGATGTGAGGAGGGAAGGCAGGGATGTGAGGAGGGAAGGCAGGGATGTGAGGAGGGAAGGCAGGGATGTGAGGAGGGAAGGCAGGGATGTGAGGAGGGAAGGCAGGGATGTGAGGAGGGAAGGCAGGGATGTGAGGAGGGAAGGCAGGGATGTGAGGAGGGAAGGCAGGGATGTGAGGAGGGAAGGCAGGGATGTGAGGAGGGAAGGCAGGGATGTGAGGAGGGAAGGCAGGGATGTGAGGAGGGAAGGCAGGGATGTGAGGAGGGAAGGCAGGGATGTGAGGAGGGAAGGCAGGGATGTGAGGAGGGAAGGCAGGGATGTGAGGAGGGAAGGCAGGGATGTGAGGAGGGAAGGCAGGGATGTGAGGAGGGAAGGCAGGGATGTGAGGAGGGAAGGCAGGGATGTGAGGAGGGAAGGCAGGGATGTGAGGAGGGAAGGCAGGGATGTGAGGAGGGAAGGCAGGGATGTGAGGAGGGAAGGCAGGGATGTGAGGAGGGAAGGCAGGGATGTGAGGAGGGAAGGCAGGGATGTGAGGAGGGAAGGCAGGGATGTGAGGAGGGAAGGCAGGGATGTGAGGAGGGAAGGCAGGGATGTGAGGAGGGAAGGCAGGGATGTGAGGAGGGAAGGCAGGGATGTGAGGAGGGAAGGCAGGGATGTGAGGAGGGAAGGCAGGGATGTGAGGAGGGAAGGCAGGGATGTGAGGAGGGAAGGCAGGGATGTGAGGAGGGAAGGCAGGGATGTGAGGAGGGAAGGCAGGGATGTGAGGAGGGAAGGCAGGGATGTGAGGAGGGAAGGCAGGGATGTGAGGAGGGAAGGCAGGGATGTGAGGAGGGAAGGCAGGGATGTGAGGAGGGAAGGCAGGGATGTGAGGAGGGAAGGCAGGGATGTGAGGAGGGAAGGCAGGGATGTGAGGAGGGAAGGCAGGGATGTGAGGAGGGAAGGCAGGGATGTGAGGAGGGAAGGCAGGGATGTGAGGAGGGAAGGCAGGGATGTGAGGAGGGAAGGCAGGGATGTGAGGAGGGAAGGCAGGGATGTGAGGAGGGAAGGCAGGGATGTGAGGAGGGAAGGCAGGGATGTGAGGAGGGAAGGCAGGGATGTGAGGAGGGAAGGCAGGGATGTGAGGAGGGAAGGCAGGGATGTGAGGAGGGAAGGCAGGGATGTGAGGAGGGAAGGCAGGGATGTGAGGAGGGAAGGCAGGGATGTGAGGAGGGAAGGCAGGGATGTGAGGAGGGAAGGCAGGGATGTGAGGAGGGAAGGCAGGGATGTGAGGAGGGAAGGCAGGGATGTGAGGAGGGAAGGCAGGGATGTGAGGAGGGAAGGCAGGGATGTGAGGAGGGAAGGCAGGGATGTGAGGAGGGAAGGCAGGGATGTGAGGAGGGAAGGCAGGGATGTGAGGAGGGAAGGCAGGGATGTGAGGAGGGAAGGCAGGGATGTGAGGAGGGAAGGCAGGGATGTGAGGAGGGAAGGCAGGGATGTGAGGAGGGAAGGCAGGGATGTGAGGAGGGAAGGCAGGGATGTGAGGAGGGAAGGCAGGGATGTGAGGAGGGAAGGCAGGGATGTGAGGAGGGAAGGCAGGGATGTGAGGAGGGAAGGCAGGGATGTGAGGAGGGAAGGCAGGGATGTGAGGAGGGAAGGCAGGGATGTGAGGAGGGAAGGCAGGGATGTGAGGAGGGAAGGCAGGGATGTGAGGAGGGAAGGCAGGGATGTGAGGAGGGAAGGCAGGGATGTGAGGAGGGAAGGCAGGGATGTGAGGAGGGAAGGCAGGGATGTGAGGAGGGAAGGCAGGGATGTGAGGAGGGAAGGCAGGGATGTGAGGAGGGAAGGCAGGGATGTGAGGAGGGAAGGCAGGGATGTGAGGAGGGAAGGCAGGGATGTGAGGAGGGAAGGCAGGGATGTGAGGAGGGAAGGCAGGGATGTGAGGAGGGAAGGCAGGGATGTGAGGAGGGAAGGCAGGGATGTGAGGAGGGAAGGCAGGGATGTGAGGAGGGAAGGCAGGGATGTGAGGAGGGAAGGCAGGGATGTGAGGAGGGAAGGCAGGGATGTGAGGAGGGAAGGCAGGGATGTGAGGAGGGAAGGCAGGGATGTGAGGAGGGAAGGCAGGGATGTGAGGAGGGAAGGCAGGGATGTGAGGAGGGAAGGCAGGGATGTGAGGAGGGAAGGCAGGGATGTGAGGAGGGAAGGCAGGGATGTGAGGAGGGAAGGCAGGGATGTGAGGAGGGAAGGCAGGGATGTGAGGAGGGAAGGCAGGGATGTGAGGAGGGAAGGCAGGGATGTGAGGAGGGAAGGCAGGGATGTGAGGAGGGAAGGCAGGGATGTGAGGAGGGAAGGCAGGGATGTGAGGAGGGAAGGCAGGGATGTGAGGAGGGAAGGCAGGGATGTGAGGAGGGAAGGCAGGGATGTGAGGAGGGAAGGCAGGGATGTGAGGAGGGAAGGCAGGGATGTGAGGAGGGAAGGCAGGGATGTGAGGAGGGAAGGCAGGGATGTGAGGAGGGAAGGCAGGGATGTGAGGAGGGAAGGCAGGGATGTGAGGAGGGAAGGCAGGGATGTGAGGAGGGAAGGCAGGGATGTGAGGAGGGAAGGCAGGGATGTGAGGAGGGAAGGCAGGGATGTGAGGAGGGAAGGCAGGGATGTGAGGAGGGAAGGCAGGGATGTGAGGAGGGAAGGCAGGGATGTGAGGAGGGAAGGCAGGGATGTGAGGAGGGAAGGCAGGGATGTGAGGAGGGAAGGCAGGGATGTGAGGAGGGAAGGCAGGGATGTGAGGAGGGAAGGCAGGGATGTGAGGAGGGAAGGCAGGGATGTGAGGAGGGAAGGCAGGGATGTGAGGAGGGAAGGCAGGGATGTGAGGAGGGAAGGCAGGGATGTGAGGAGGGAAGGCAGGGATGTGAGGAGGGAAGGCAGGGATGTGAGGAGGGAAGGCAGGGATGTGAGGAGGGAAGGCAGGGATGTGAGGAGGGAAGGCAGGGATGTGAGGAGGGAAGGCAGGGATGTGAGGAGGGAAGGCAGGGATGTGAGGAGGGAAGGCAGGGATGTGAGGAGGGAAGGCAGGGATGTGAGGAGGGAAGGCAGGGATGTGAGGAGGGAAGGCAGGGATGTGAGGAGGGAAGGCAGGGATGTGAGGAGGGAAGGCAGGGATGTGAGGAGGGAAGGCAGGGATGTGAGGAGGGAAGGCAGGGATGTGAGGAGGGAAGGCAGGGATGTGAGGAGGGAAGGCAGGGATGTGAGGAGGGAAGGCAGGGATGTGAGGAGGGAAGGCAGGGATGTGAGGAGGGAAGGCAGGGATGTGAGGAGGGAAGGCAGGGATGTGAGGAGGGAAGGCAGGGATGTGAGGAGGGAAGGCAGGGATGTGAGGAGGGAAGGCAGGGATGTGAGGAGGGAAGGCAGGGATGTGAGGAGGGAAGGCAGGGATGTGAGGAGGGAAGGCAGGGATGTGAGGAGGGAAGGCAGGGATGTGAGGAGGGAAGGCAGGGATGTGAGGAGGGAAGGCAGGGATGTGAGGAGGGAAGGCAGGGATGTGAGGAGGGAAGGCAGGGATGTGAGGAGGGAAGGCAGGGATGTGAGGAGGGAAGGCAGGGATGTGAGGAGGGAAGGCAGGGATGTGAGGAGGGAAGGCAGGGATGTGAGGAGGGAAGGCAGGGATGTGAGGAGGGAAGGCAGGGATGTGAGGAGGGAAGGCAGGGATGTGAGGAGGGAAGGCAGGGATGTGAGGAGGGAAGGCAGGGATGTGAGGAGGGAAGGCAGGGATGTGAGGAGGGAAGGCAGGGATGTGAGGAGGGAAGGCAGGGATGTGAGGAGGGAAGGCAGGGATGTGAGGAGGGAAGGCAGGGATGTGAGGAGGGAAGGCAGGGATGTGAGGAGGGAAGGCAGGGATGTGAGGAGGGAAGGCAGGGATGTGAGGAGGGAAGGCAGGGATGTGAGGAGGGAAGGCAGGGATGTGAGGAGGGAAGGCAGGGATGTGAGGAGGGAAGGCAGGGATGTGAGGAGGGAAGGCAGGGATGTGAGGAGGGAAGGCAGGGATGTGAGGAGGGAAGGCAGGGATGTGAGGAGGGAAGGCAGGGATGTGAGGAGGGAAGGCAGGGATGTGAGGAGGGAAGGCAGGGATGTGAGGAGGGAAGGCAGGGATGTGAGGAGGGAAGGCAGGGATGTGAGGAGGGAAGGCAGGGATGTGAGGAGGGAAGGCAGGGATGTGAGGAGGGAAGGCAGGGATGTGAGGAGGGAAGGCAGGGATGTGAGGAGGGAAGGCAGGGATGTGAGGAGGGAAGGCAGGGATGTGAGGAGGGAAGGCAGGGATGTGAGGAGGGAAGGCAGGGATGTGAGGAGGGAAGGCAGGGATGTGAGGAGGGAAGGCAGGGATGTGAGGAGGGAAGGCAGGGATGTGAGGAGGGAAGGCAGGGATGTGAGGAGGGAAGGCAGGGATGTGAGGAGGGAAGGCAGGGATGTGAGGAGGGAAGGCAGGGATGTGAGGAGGGAAGGCAGGGATGTGAGGAGGGAAGGCAGGGATGTGAGGAGGGAAGGCAGGGATGTGAGGAGGGAAGGCAGGGATGTGAGGAGGGAAGGCAGGGATGTGAGGAGGGAAGGCAGGGATGTGAGGAGGGAAGGCAGGGATGTGAGGAGGGAAGGCAGGGATGTGAGGAGGGAAGGCAGGGATGTGAGGAGGGAAGGCAGGGATGTGAGGAGGGAAGGCAGGGATGTGAGGAGGGAAGGCAGGGATGTGAGGAGGGAAGGCAGGGATGTGAGGAGGGAAGGCAGGGATGTGAGGAGGGAAGGCAGGGATGTGAGGAGGGAAGGCAGGGATGTGAGGAGGGAAGGCAGGGATGTGAGGAGGGAAGGCAGGGATGTGAGGAGGGAAGGCAGGGATGTGAGGAGGGAAGGCAGGGATGTGAGGAGGGAAGGCAGGGATGTGAGGAGGGAAGGCAGGGATGTGAGGAGGGAAGGCAGGGATGTGAGGAGGGAAGGCAGGGATGTGAGGAGGGAAGGCAGGGATGTGAGGAGGGAAGGCAGGGATGTGAGGAGGGAAGGCAGGGATGTGAGGAGGGAAGGCAGGGATGTGAGGAGGGAAGGCAGGGATGTGAGGAGGGAAGGCAGGGATGTGAGGAGGGAAGGCAGGGATGTGAGGAGGGAAGGCAGGGATGTGAGGAGGGAAGGCAGGGATGTGAGGAGGGAAGGCAGGGATGTGAGGAGGGAAGGCAGGGATGTGAGGAGGGAAGGCAGGGATGTGAGGAGGGAAGGCAGGGATGTGAGGAGGGAAGGCAGGGATGTGAGGAGGGAAGGCAGGGATGTGAGGAGGGAAGGCAGGGATGTGAGGAGGGAAGGCAGGGATGTGAGGAGGGAAGGCAGGGATGTGAGGAGGGAAGGCAGGGATGTGAGGAGGGAAGGCAGGGATGTGAGGAGGGAAGGCAGGGATGTGAGGAGGGAAGGCAGGGATGTGAGGAGGGAAGGCAGGGATGTGAGGAGGGAAGGCAGGGATGTGAGGAGGGAAGGCAGGGATGTGAGGAGGGAAGGCAGGGATGTGAGGAGGGAAGGCAGGGATGTGAGGAGGGAAGGCAGGGATGTGAGGAGGGAAGGCAGGGATGTGAGGAGGGAAGGCAGGGATGTGAGGAGGGAAGGCAGGGATGTGAGGAGGGAAGGCAGGGATGTGAGGAGGGAAGGCAGGGATGTGAGGAGGGAAGGCAGGGATGTGAGGAGGGAAGGCAGGGATGTGAGGAGGGAAGGCAGGGATGTGAGGAGGGAAGGCAGGGATGTGAGGAGGGAAGGCAGGGATGTGAGGAGGGAAGGCAGGGATGTGAGGAGGGAAGGCAGGGATGTGAGGAGGGAAGGCAGGGATGTGAGGAGGGAAGGCAGGGATGTGAGGAGGGAAGGCAGGGATGTGAGGAGGGAAGGCAGGGATGTGAGGAGGGAAGGCAGGGATGTGAGGAGGGAAGGCAGGGATGTGAGGAGGGAAGGCAGGGATGTGAGGAGGGAAGGCAGGGATGTGAGGAGGGAAGGCAGGGATGTGAGGAGGGAAGGCAGGGATGTGAGGAGGGAAGGCAGGGATGTGAGGAGGGAAGGCAGGGATGTGAGGAGGGAAGGCAGGGATGTGAGGAGGGAAGGCAGGGATGTGAGGAGGGAAGGCAGGGATGTGAGGAGGGAAGGCAGGGATGTGAGGAGGGAAGGCAGGGATGTGAGGAGGGAAGGCAGGGATGTGAGGAGGGAAGGCAGGGATGTGAGGAGGGAAGGCAGGGATGTGAGGAGGGAAGGCAGGGATGTGAGGAGGGAAGGCAGGGATGTGAGGAGGGAAGGCAGGGATGTGAGGAGGGAAGGCAGGGATGTGAGGAGGGAAGGCAGGGATGTGAGGAGGGAAGGCAGGGATGTGAGGAGGGAAGGCAGGGATGTGAGGAGGGAAGGCAGGGATGTGAGGAGGGAAGGCAGGGATGTGAGGAGGGAAGGCAGGGATGTGAGGAGGGAAGGCAGGGATGTGAGGAGGGAAGGCAGGGATGTGAGGAGGGAAGGCAGGGATGTGAGGAGGGAAGGCAGGGATGTGAGGAGGGAAGGCAGGGATGTGAGGAGGGAAGGCAGGGATGTGAGGAGGGAAGGCAGGGATGTGAGGAGGGAAGGCAGGGATGTGAGGAGGGAAGGCAGGGATGTGAGGAGGGAAGGCAGGGATGTGAGGAGGGAAGGCAGGGATGTGAGGAGGGAAGGCAGGGATGTGAGGAGGGAAGGCAGGGATGTGAGGAGGGAAGGCAGGGATGTGAGGAGGGAAGGCAGGGATGTGAGGAGGGAAGGCAGGGATGTGAGGAGGGAAGGCAGGGATGTGAGGAGGGAAGGCAGGGATGTGAGGAGGGAAGGCAGGGATGTGAGGAGGGAAGGCAGGGATGTGAGGAGGGAAGGCAGGGATGTGAGGAGGGAAGGCAGGGATGTGAGGAGGGAAGGCAGGGATGTGAGGAGGGAAGGCAGGGATGTGAGGAGGGAAGGCAGGGATGTGAGGAGGGAAGGCAGGGATGTGAGGAGGGAAGGCAGGGATGTGAGGAGGGAAGGCAGGGATGTGAGGAGGGAAGGCAGGGATGTGAGGAGGGAAGGCAGGGATGTGAGGAGGGAAGGCAGGGATGTGAGGAGGGAAGGCAGGGATGTGAGGAGGGAAGGCAGGGATGTGAGGAGGGAAGGCAGGGATGTGAGGAGGGAAGGCAGGGATGTGAGGAGGGAAGGCAGGGATGTGAGGAGGGAAGGCAGGGATGTGAGGAGGGAAGGCAGGGATGTGAGGAGGGAAGGCAGGGATGTGAGGAGGGAAGGCAGGGATGTGAGGAGGGAAGGCAGGGATGTGAGGAGGGAAGGCAGGGATGTGAGGAGGGAAGGCAGGGATGTGAGGAGGGAAGGCAGGGATGTGAGGAGGGAAGGCAGGGATGTGAGGAGGGAAGGCAGGGATGTGAGGAGGGAAGGCAGGGATGTGAGGAGGGAAGGCAGGGATGTGAGGAGGGAAGGCAGGGATGTGAGGAGGGAAGGCAGGGATGTGAGGAGGGAAGGCAGGGATGTGAGGAGGGAAGGCAGGGATGTGAGGAGGGAAGGCAGGGATGTGAGGAGGGAAGGCAGGGATGTGAGGAGGGAAGGCAGGGATGTGAGGAGGGAAGGCAGGGATGTGAGGAGGGAAGGCAGGGATGTGAGGAGGGAAGGCAGGGATGTGAGGAGGGAAGGCAGGGATGTGAGGAGGGAAGGCAGGGATGTGAGGAGGGAAGGCAGGGATGTGAGGAGGGAAGGCAGGGATGTGAGGAGGGAAGGCAGGGATGTGAGGAGGGAAGGCAGGGATGTGAGGAGGGAAGGCAGGGATGTGAGGAGGGAAGGCAGGGATGTGAGGAGGGAAGGCAGGGATGTGAGGAGGGAAGGCAGGGATGTGAGGAGGGAAGGCAGGGATGTGAGGAGGGAAGGCAGGGATGTGAGGAGGGAAGGCAGGGATGTGAGGAGGGAAGGCAGGGATGTGAGGAGGGAAGGCAGGGATGTGAGGAGGGAAGGCAGGGATGTGAGGAGGGAAGGCAGGGATGTGAGGAGGGAAGGCAGGGATGTGAGGAGGGAAGGCAGGGATGTGAGGAGGGAAGGCAGGGATGTGAGGAGGGAAGGCAGGGATGTGAGGAGGGAAGGCAGGGATGTGAGGAGGGAAGGCAGGGATGTGAGGAGGGAAGGCAGGGATGTGAGGAGGGAAGGCAGGGATGTGAGGAGGGAAGGCAGGGATGTGAGGAGGGAAGGCAGGGATGTGAGGAGGGAAGGCAGGGATGTGAGGAGGGAAGGCAGGGATGTGAGGAGGGAAGGCAGGGATGTGAGGAGGGAAGGCAGGGATGTGAGGAGGGAAGGCAGGGATGTGAGGAGGGAAGGCAGGGATGTGAGGAGGGAAGGCAGGGATGTGAGGAGGGAAGGCAGGGATGTGAGGAGGGAAGGCAGGGATGTGAGGAGGGAAGGCAGGGATGTGAGGAGGAAGGGATGTGAGGAGGGAAGGCAGGGATGTGAGGAGGGAAGGCAGGGATGTGAGGAGGGAAGGCAGGGATGTGAGGAGGGAAGGCAGGGATGTGAGGAGGGAAGGCCGGGATGTGAGGAGGGAAGGCCGGATGTGAGGAGGGAAGGCAGGGATGTGAGGAGGGAAGGCAGGGATGTGAGGAGGGAAGGCAGGGATGTGAGGAGGGAAGGCAGGGATGTGAGGAGGGAAGGCAGGGATGTGAGGAGGGAAGGCAGGGATGTGAGGAGGGAAGGCAGGGATGTGAGGAGGGAAGGCAGGGATGTGAGGAGGGAAGGCAGGGATGTGAGGAGGGAAGGCAGGGATGTGAGGAGGGAAGGCAGGGATGTGAGGAGGGAAGGCAGGGATGTGAGGAGGGAAGGCAGGGATGTGAGGAGGGAAGGCAGGGATGTGAGGAGGGAAGGCAGGGATGTGAGGAGGGAAGGCAGGGATGTGAGGAGGGAAGGCAGGGATGTGAGGAGGGAAGGCAGGGATGTGAGGAGGGAAGGCAGGGATGTGAGGAGGGAAGGCAGGGATGTGAGGAGGGAAGGCAGGGATGTGAGGAGGGAAGGCAGGGATGTGAGGAGGGAAGGCAGGGATGTGAGGAGGGAAGGCAGGGATGTGAGGAGGGAAGGCAGGGATGTGAGGAGGGAAGGCAGGGATGTGAGGAGGGAAGGCAGGGATGTGAGGAGGGAAGGCAGGGATGTGAGGAGGGAAGGCAGGGATGTGAGGAGGGAGGCCGGGATGTGAGGAGGGAAGGCAGGGATGTGAGGAGGGAAGGCAGGGATGTGAGGAGGGAAGGCAGGGATGTGAGGAGGGAAGGCAGGGATGTGAGGAGGGAAGGCAGGGATGTGAGGAGGGAAGGCAGGGATGTGAGGAGGGAAGGCAGGGATGTGAGGAGGGAAGGCAGGGATGTGAGGAGGGAAGGCCGGGATGTGAGGAGGGAAGGCGGGATGTGAGGAGGGAAGGCCGGGATGTGAGGAGGGAAGGCGGGATGTGAGGAGGGAAGCCGGGATGTGAGGAGGGAAGGCAGGGATGTGAGGAGGGAAGGCAGGGATGTGAGGAGGGAAGGCAGGGATGTGAGGAGGGAAGGCAGGGATGTGAGGAGGGAAGGCAGGGATGTGAGGAGGGAAGGCAGGGATGTGAGGAGGGAAGGCAGGGATGTGAGGAGGGAAGGCAGGGATGTGAGGAGGGAAGGCAGGGATGTGAGGAGGGAAGGCAGGGATGTGAGGAGGGAAGGCAGGGATGTGAGGAGGGAAGGCAGGGATGTGGGAGGGGGAAGGCAGGGATGTGAGGAGGGAAGGCAGGGATGTGAGGAGGGAAGGCCGGGATGGAGTGAGGAGGGAGGCGGGATGTGAGGAGGGAAGGCAGGGATGTGAGGAGGGAGGCCGGGATGTGAGGAGGGAAGGCAGGGATGTGAGGAGGGAAGGCAGGGATGTGAGGAGGGAAGGCAGGGATGTGAGGAGGGAAGGCAGGGATGTGAGGAGGGAAGGCAGGGATGTGAGGAGGGAAGGCAGGGATGTGAGGAGGGAAGGCAGGGATGTGAGGAGGGAAGGCAGGGATGTGAGGAGGGAAGGCAGGGATGTGAGGAGGGAAGGCAGGGATGTGAGGAGGGAAGGCAGGGATGTGAGGAGGGAAGGCAGGGATGTGAGGAGGGAAGGCAGGGATGTGAGGAGGGAAGGCAGGGATGTGAGGAGGGAAGGCAGGGATGTGAGGAGGGAAGGCAGGGATGTGAGGAGGGAAGGCAGGGATGTGAGGAGGGAAGGCAGGGATGTGAGGAGGGAAGGCAGGGATGTGAGGAGGGAAGGCAGGGATGTGAGGAGGAGGGGAAGGGCAGGGATGTGAGGAGGGAAGGCAGGGATGTGAGGAGGGAAGGCAGGGATGTGAGGAGGGAAGGCAGGGATGTGAGGAGGGAAGGCAGGGATGTGAGGAGGGAAGGCAGGGATGTGAGGAGGGAAGGCAGGGATGTGAGGAGGGAAGGCAGGGATGTGAGGAGGGAAGGCAGGGATGTGAGGAGGGAAGGCAGGGATGTGAGGAGGGAAGGCAGGGATGTGAGGAGGGAAGGCAGGGATGTGAGGAGGGAAGGCAGGGATGTGAGGAGGGAAGGCAGGGATGTGAGGAGGGAAGGCAGGGATGTGAGGAGGGAAGGCAGGGATGTGAGGAGGGAAGGCAGGGATGTGAGGAGGGAAGGCAGGGATGTGAGGAGGGAAGGCAGGGATGTGAGGAGGGAAGGCAGGGATGTGAGGAGGGAAGGCAGGGATGTGAGGAGGGAAGGCAGGGATGTGAGGAGGGAAGGCAGGGATGTGAGGAGGGAAGGCAGGGATGTGAGGAGGGAAGGCAGGGATGTGAGGAGGGAAGGCAGGGATGTGAGGAGGGAAGGCAGGGATGTGAGGAGGGAAGGCAGGGATGTGAGGAGGGAAGGCAGGGATGTGAGGAGGGAAGGCAGGGATGTGAGGAGGGAAGGCAGGGATGTGAGGAGGGAAGGCAGGGATGTGAGGAGGGAAGGCAGGGATGTGAGGAGGGAAGGCAGGGATGTGAGGAGGGAAGGCAGGGATGTGAGGAGGGAAGGCAGGGATGTGAGGAGGGAAGGCAGGGATGTGAGGAGGGAAGGCAGGGATGTGAGGAGGGAAGGCAGGGATGTGAGGAGGGAAGGCAGGGATGTGAGGAGGGAAGGCAGGGATGTGAGGAGGGAAGGCAGGGATGTGAGGAGGGAAGGCAGGGATGTGAGGAGGGAAGGCAGGGATGTGAGGAGGGAAGGCAGGGATGTGAGGAGGGAAGGCAGGGATGTGAGGAGGGAAGGCAGGGATGTGAGGAGGGAAGGCAGGGATGTGAGGAGGGAAGGCAGGGATGTGAGGAGGGAAGGCAGGGATGTGAGGAGGGAAGGCAGGGATGTGAGGAGGGAAGGCAGGGATGTGAGGAGGGAAGGCAGGGATGTGAGGAGGGAAGGCAGGGATGTGAGGAGGGAAGGCAGGGATGTGAGGAGGGAAGGCAGGGATGTGAGGAGGGAAGGCAGGGATGTGAGGAGGGAAGGCAGGGATGTGAGGAGGGAAGGCAGGGATGTGAGGAGGGAAGGCAGGGATGTGAGGAGGGAAGGCAGGGATGTGAGGAGGGAAGGCAGGGATGTGAGGAGGGAAGGCAGGGATGTGAGGAGGGAAGGCAGGGATGTGAGGAGGGAAGGCAGGGATGTGAGGAGGGAAGGCAGGGATGTGAGGAGGGAAGGCAGGGATGTGAGGAGGGAAGGCAGGGATGTGAGGAGGGAAGGCAGGGATGTGAGGAGGGAAGGCAGGGATGTGAGGAGGGAAGGCAGGGATGTGAGGAGGGAAGGCAGGGATGTGAGGAGGGAAGGCAGGGATGTGAGGAGGGAAGGCAGGGATGTGAGGAGGGAAGGCAGGGATGTGAGGAGGGAAGGCAGGGATGTGAGGAGGGAAGGCAGGGATGTGAGGAGGGAAGGCAGGGATGTGAGGAGGGAAGGCAGGGATGTGAGGAGGGAAGGCAGGGATGTGAGGAGGGAAGGCAGGGATGTGAGGAGGGAAGGCAGGGATGTGAGGAGGGAAGGCAGGGATGTGAGGAGGGAAGGCAGGGATGTGAGGAGGGAAGGCAGGGATGTGAGGAGGGAAGGCAGGGATGTGAGGAGGGAAGGCAGGGATGTGAGGAGGGAAGGCAGGGATGTGAGGAGGGAAGGCAGGGATGTGAGGAGGGAAGGCAGGGATGTGAGGAGGGAAGGCAGGGATGTGAGGAGGGAAGGCAGGGATGTGAGGAGGGAAGGCAGGGATGTGAGGAGGGAAGGCAGGGATGTGAGGAGGGAAGGCAGGGATGTGAGGAGGGAAGGCAGGGATGTGAGGAGGGAAGGCAGGGATGTGAGGAGGGAAGGCAGGGATGTGAGGAGGGAAGGCAGGGATGTGAGGAGGGAAGGCAGGGATGTGAGGAGGGAAGGCAGGGATGTGAGGAGGGAAGGCAGGGATGTGAGGAGGGAAGGCAGGGATGTGAGGAGGGAAGGCAGGGATGTGAGGAGGGAAGGCAGGGATGTGAGGAGGGAAGGCAGGGATGTGAGGAGGGAAGGCAGGGATGTGAGGAGGGAAGGCAGGGATGTGAGGAGGGAAGGCAGGGATGTGAGGAGGGAAGGCAGGGATGTGAGGAGGGAAGGCAGGGATGTGAGGAGGGAAGGCAGGGATGTGAGGAGGGAAGGCAGGGATGTGAGGAGGGAAGGCAGGGATGTGAGGAGGGAAGGCAGGGATGTGAGGAGGGAAGGCAGGGATGTGAGGAGGGAAGGCAGGGATGTGAGGAGGGAAGGCAGGGATGTGAGGAGGGAAGGCAGGGATGTGAGGAGGGAAGGCAGGGATGTGAGGAGGGAAGGCAGGGATGTGAGGAGGGAAGGCAGGGATGTGAGGAGGGAAGGCAGGGATGTGAGGAGGGAAGGCAGGGATGTGAGGAGGGAAGGCAGGGATGTGAGGAGGGAAGGCAGGGATGTGAGGAGGGAAGGCAGGGATGTGAGGAGGGAAGGCAGGGATGTGAGGAGGGAAGGCAGGGATGTGAGGAGGGAAGGCCGGGATGTGAGGAGGGAAGGCCGGGATGTGAGGAGGGAAGGCCGGGATGTGAGGAGGGAAGGCCGGGATGTGAGGAGGGAAGGCCGGGATGCTCTCATTTCCCCCCCCCCTACATGCCTCCCTCCTCTCATTCCCCCCCTTGCTCCCTCGATGTTTCCCCCACTGCTCCTCTACACTTCCCCCCACTTCTCCCTCTCATTTCCCCCCTTTATCCATCTCATTCCCCCCCCGTCTCCCCCTCATTGCCCCCACTTCTTCCTCTCATCTCCTCCCTTGCTCCATTTCCAACTCTGCTCCCCCTGACTTCTCCATCTTCTCCTCTCGTTTTACCCTTCTCCCCCTCCCCCCCCCCCTTTCCATCTTCTCCTTTCCCCCAACCCTGTCCGTGGGGTGAGTGAGCTGGCGGGGAAGGGAGAGGAATAAGAGGGGACGGGGGAAGTGCGGATGGCAAGGAGGATTTGAGGGGGAAAAGAGGAGAAGAGAGGGTAAGAGAAGCAGGGGGGAAAAACTGAGAGCAGGGGGGAAAAACTGAGAGCAGGGGGGAAAAACTGAGAGCAGGGGGGAAAACTGAGAGCAGGGGGGAAAAACAGGAGCAGAGGAAGAAAGGAGGAGCAGTGGGTGGAAAGAGGTGCAGTAAGGGAAAGGATGAGCAGAGGGGGGAAAGATAAGCAGAGGGGGGAAAGATAAGCAGAGGGGGGAAAGATAAGCAGAGGGGGGAAAGATAAGCAGAGGGGGGAAAGATAAGCAGAGGGGGGAAAGATAAGCAGAGGGGGGAAAGATAAGCAGAGGGGGGAAAGATAAGCAGAGGGGGGAAAGATAAGCAGAGGGGGGGAAAGATAAGCAGAGGGGGAAAAGAGGAGCAGAGGGGGGAAAGAGGAGCAGAGAGGGAAAGAGGAGCAGAGAGGGAAAGAGGAGCAGAGGGGGAAAGTAAAGTAGGGGGGAAAAAGAGGAGCAGAGGGGGGAAATAGGAGCAGTGAGGGAAAAGAGGAGAAGAGGGGGAGAAGAGAAGCAGAGGGGGAAAAAGAGCGGAGGTGGGAAAGTTGAGAAGATGGGGAAAGAGGAGCAGAGGGGGAAAATAGGGGAAGCAGGCGGAGAAATGGTGGGAGGGAGGGGGGGAGATGAAGGAGGAAGAGAAGGAGTGGCGGGAGGACGAGAGTCGCGGGAGGACGAGAAGGCACGGCGGGAGGGGGAGGAGGCATGGTGGGAGGAGGAGAAGGCATGGTGGGAGAATTCATGGTGGGAGGAGGAGAGGGGGTGGCGGGAGGAGGAGAAGGCATGGCGGGAGGAGGAGTGGGGGTGGCGGGAAGAGGAGAAGGGGAGAAATGAGGGCAAGCAGGGGAGCATTGAGGGCAAGCAGGGGGGGAAATGCGATCGTGCGAGGGGGAAAAAAAGGCGTACAAGGGAGAAAATGAGGGCGTGCAAGGTGGGGAAACGAGGGCAAGCAGGGAGGGAAAACGAGGGCGTACAGGTGGGGAAGTGAGGGCGTTCAAGGGGGGTGCAGCGGGGATGCGGAAGCACAGCCGTTGCAAGAGAGAGAGAGGGGGCCGAGGGCCTTATCCGAATGCAGCTCGCGAAAGGAGGCCGCCGAGACGCGGAGAGGCAGCGACGGGAGGCAGGGTGAAGCCGACGACGCTGGCTAGGCCTCGCATGCGCGGGAAAGCGAGAGGAGGCCGCGCGTGGAGGCGAGAGGAGGCCGCGCGGGGAGGCGAGAGTCGCACGCGCGGGGAGGCGAGAGTCGCACGCGCGGGGAGGCGAGAGTCGCACGCGCGGGGAGGCCGCGCGGGGAGGCGAGAGGAGAGCGCGGGGAGGAGAGAGGAGAGCGCGGGGAGGCGAGAGGAGAGCGCGGGGAGGCGAGAGTCGCGCGCGTGGGAAGGCGTTAGGAGAGCGCGGGGAGGCAAGAGGAGGAGGCGCGGGGAGGTGAGAGGAGGAGGCGCGGGGAGGCGAGAGGAGCAGGCGCGGGGAGGCGAGAGGAGAACGCGCAGGGAGGCGAGAGGAGAACGCGCGGCAAGGCGAGAGGAGGCCGCGCGTGGAGGCGAGAGGAGGCCGCGCGTGGAGGCGAGAGGAGGCAGCGCGGGGAAAGCGAGAGTCGAGCGCGCGGGGAGGCGTGAGGAGGCCGCGCGGGGAAAGCGAGAGGAGAGCGCGCGGGGAGGCGAACGCGAGAGGGAGGGCACGCGAGCGGCGAGCGGGAAGCAGTGGCTAACCTCGCGCGGCGAACGGCGGACAGCGAGCTAGGAGTGGAGGACGGGATGGGATGGCAGATGCTAGCGCGTCGAGGCTAAACGGGACTCTGTGGGGAGGGGAGGCGCTGTCGCTAATGGCCTCGCGGTGAGGCAGCGAGAGGAGGTGTGGGGCGGCCTTGTCTAAGTTGGCGTAGCCTCTGCGAGTGCGTACGAATGGGCAATTTGTCCGCGCATGCGCGCAAACAGCGTTACGCGGTTCAATAACAGATTCTGTCCCTAAATTTAGCTGTTTGGTTAGAACGTTGCCTAGCCTACGGGGAATAACCTACCGAAGTAGGAGCGCGCGGGCTTTCCTCTCAATACCGCAGTTTCAGTTTCCTTTTGCAAGTCCTAAGGGCGTGTGAGGTCGGATTTGAAATTCAAAAAAATTGCGAACTTTGTGTGGTTACCAGTTTCGCCAATGTCGCATAAAGCTACGAGCGAAACTTCGTCAACTTTGGGTTTGGCAACATGCGAACTGCAAACTTGAACAAGACTCGAGTTTTAGTTGTGAACGTGCTTCGGCATGTTCACATTCACGTGTGTGATTTCCCGCACGTTCGAGCATCTGGCGAAATGTGCGAGCGACTCACGAGTAGCAACAGTTTCACAACGAACTCACCACAGCCTTCGTGTACTGAATAGAGGCCACGTGGCGATAATCGGGTAACCTACTTTTTAGAACCGGGTAACCTACTTTGTAGAAATGCGGTTCGGTGCGTTTTTACAAGTTCGAATACGCGCACTCGACCTTGTATATGTGTGTGCTTTTCTGCAGTGTTGTGGTCCAGATGTGCGAACCCCGATACAATGAAAGTCGAGTTTGGTTCGACATACAAACGCAAAAATGTAAACTTTCACAAATTCCACCGATCACACGCGCCCTAAGGTTTTGAACTGTGAGTGCGGGGAGCTGGACGTGGGGCGTTTGGTGACTCACTTCGCCTGTCAACTGGGGGATTGGGGGTTGTAATCGCGTAACCAGTTTTTCAAGTTCCTAAGGTTTTTGAAACCCCTGCTTGCAAAAGTATACTGTTGCTTTAATTTGCGAAATTGCTGGACATGCTGTGCGACTGCAAAGCAAGGTCGTGCAAGAAATCGCCTGTCTATTCAAATTCGTGCCCAACCAATAAGGCTGCGTCGCTGGATTCTGTGCTGCGCTTCGATTTGGCACTGAAGCTACAGTGCTTGTCACCCCTAAGCGGCGCGCTTCGGCTTGACGCTGCCAATGTCGGCATGTCACGAACACCACAGACATAAACTTGGGAAATCAACCCAACTCCAGTAAAGAACGACAGACAGCTTCCTCAGCGACTAGCCAAGTGAGCCAAGCAATCAAAAAGATAACTCTGCGAGTATGACGCAGCTTCTTCCCCGCTGTTTGACCATATAGAGCGAGTCTTAACACTCGTAGGACCCAGTCGCGTGAGACTACTAGTTGCAATGCCTGCGACAGTCGAGCACAGCGCGTGCACGGTTAGACGAAGCGGGTTTTTTTTCGTAGCTCTTCACAGACCTTCGCGAGACAATTGTAGAGCTTCGCGCGTTACGCTTGCATCAAGCCGCTTCTTTTGCGTTGCGCTGCTGCTAATAATGGGAACGACAGCGCGCGCAGCACTAACGAGAGCAACTGCCGGCGTCACCAACGAGCCTGGCACGGAATACGAGTATTCAGACGAACCACCGGACACACGAACAGGCTTGGACGCAGCCCCGGCGCGAGGTTCGGAGACACCTTCGGGCCGACGCACAGGCACTAATTCAGAGCGAGATCACGCAGCGGGAAAACGTCTGGAGAATGATTCGTTACAAGTCAACCCTGACTCGATAGAAGCCGCGATGTATCCACCTCCATCACAACCCAGAAACGAGGATGGTCACCAGCACAGCGCAAGCACAAGCAGCCGCCGGAAATCGTTAGAACGGTCGCGTTATCACCAGCAACGCCGCACGCCTTCTGTTTCCTTCGCTTCGCTATCCATCATTCGACCTTCCAACGAAGCAGGCCTTTACATTGTGTATCTTAACTCCGCCCCCTCGGTTCTCACGTATCGTGGCGGCATAGCTGGCTTGAGAGCCACTGCTACCAATATGGAAACCGACGATGACGATAACGATGACGGCGACAGCGACGGTGGCGGTGACTGGGGGGAAGGGGTTGGCGCAGAGGGCGGGAGCGGTGGCGGGTCGGGAGGAAGCGGCGGAAACAGCGGCCTGGGTATGGCGAAAATTAAGGTTGTCCGGGAAGACGACGGGTGGGGGATGGCGAAGCAGACGTTTCAGCGAGAAGCTGCCAAAATAAAATCAACGGCGGCGGCGGCGGTGGCTGCGGCGGTCAACCTGGACGGCCCTCCGCGGCGCCGACCCGACGTGCGCTCCGCGGCGGTCCAAGAATTCTCGCATTTTCTCAAAGACTCGCACCGGAGATTAATCTCCTCTGCCGGCCTCCCCGCGTCGCGCATCGTGCACAGCTACCGCTACCTCATGAACGCGTTCTCGGCGCGTTTGACGGCGGCGGAAGCGGAGAAGCTAAGAAAACAGCCGTGGGTGGATCGTGTGGAGCGCAGCCAGATGGTGCGCGCAGCGACGACGCACACGCCTGACTTCCTGAACCTGCCCAACAAAGTCTGGCCGCAGCTGGGCGGGGAGAGCCGCGCGGGGGAAAATGTGATTATAGGCCTAATTGACTCGGGTATTTGGCCGGAGCACCCGGCCTTTTCAGACAAGGTGAACTTCCCTTCCCTATCCTCCTTCATCATCATTTATCCACTCGCTTTGTCCATTCCGCTCGACCTCCGTCCCCTCCTTCATCGCGCCCTGATTGCTTCCGCCAACCTGTCCGCGCGCAGACCAGCACCCCGTACGGCCCGCCGCCCAGCCGGTGGCGCGGGGGGTGCAACACGACGGCGGACTTCCCGCGGTGCTCGCAAAAAATCATCGGCGCACAGTGGTTCGTGGCGGGGCTGAAGGCGGAGGGCGGGCGCATCGACAGGAGCATCGAGTTCCTCTCACCCAGAGATGCCAACAGCCACGGCAGCTGGTGCGCCGGGTGAGTCAAAAGTCAAAGCAGGTCAACGCAAGTCAATGCAGGTCAATGTAGCTCAGAGCGTACGCTGGAAGTCATCGAAAGTCAACGTAAGTCAAATGGGCGGAGAGATTGGTAGGAGCATCGAATAGAGGAATAGCACAATGCCGTGCAACACACGTTTGCTCATTTCAATAATCGCCCATCTTGATCTTTCTCCTTCTGCCTCGTCCAATCCCCCATCCTCCTCCCCCCCCCCCACCCCCTACCCCCCCAGAGCGGCAGCGGGCAACGCTGTGCGCGTCAAGTCGGGCGCGCAACCGCTGGGCACGGCGCGCGGCATGGCGCCGCGCGCGCGCGTGGCGGTGTACAAGGCGCTCTGGTTCGACGGGCAAGTCGCAATGGGCAGCGAGGCTGACGTGTACAAGGCCGTGGATCGCGCCGTGGCGGACGGCGTCGACCTGCTGTCCATGTCCGTCGCGTTCAGCGATGAAAACTACTTCAAGCACCTCCCGCTCATGCGCGCCGCGCAGGTAAAGTCCTCCCGCTAAAGCACCATCCAGCTGTCATGCGCGCCGCGCAAGCACATTCAACGATGAGCCGTTCCGCTCCGCCGTTTCGTGCGAGCGCCTCATGCAGCCGCGCCCACATGCAGCCGTGCTCGTCTTATCTTGCCATCCCCGCCTTGACAAGTCCTCCCCGCCTTGCTTGCGACCAATCCCGGCGCTCTTGGGATTGCCAATCCCAAGAGCCCACCATGCACGCAAGGTCCCTCGGGGTACCTTCCGCTCCCTCACTCCCCTGCTCCCTCTCGCTCCCTACCCTTCCCCCTCGTTCCCTCCGCCTCGCCCTCACGTTCTCATGGCAGGCAGGCCCACGTGCTACCAGTGCTGGTGGCCGGCCTAACAGCCGGCAATCTCAAGGCCCTGCCAGGCTCGAAAAGCAACACCTTCCATTCCCTCACTCTCCTGCTCCCTCGCTTCCTCACCCTCCCTCCCCCTCGTTCCCTTGTTCTGCCTGCCCTCTATATTGTCACAACAGGCGGGCGTGCTGCCGGTGCTGGTGGCCGGCAATCTCAAGGCCCCCCCGGACCGCGAGGACGGAGTTTACCGCACCATCCGCAACGCCTCGCCTTACTACCTCACCGTCGCCGCCAGGTGCGCCGCTTTCCCCCCTGTGGGAGTGGGTTTGTTTTCTGCAGTCGAAAAGTCCCTCGCATCGTGCGCCGCTTGCGCTGATCGCACGCTCTCTCTCTCTCTCTCTTGCCTGCCCCCACCTTCCTCTCGCTCCTTCTCCCGTTCTCCCCCAACCTCTGCTCCCAAATCCCCCCTTCCCTACACCCGGCCGGGCCACGCACACCCCCTCCGCTCACCCACAGCACGACGGACAGAGCATGGCCGCCGCAAGCCACGCTGAGGCTGCAGGACGGCGCAGCCACCACCGCCGCCGCCGGGACTGCGGGGGGACGGAGAACCGCCGCTGGGACTGCGGGAGGCGGCGACGGCGGAGGAGTGAGCGCGGAGGGGGAGGGCGTGACGGTGGTGGGGGTGACTTACCACGCGGGCACGGCACACACGGTCAACCTCTCGCTCGTGGATGGCGCTGCTGCCGCCGCCAGCAACGTCACTTCCCTCATGCAGGTACGCGAGCGCGGAGGGGGTGACGGTGGTGACGAGGGTGTCGGTGGGTGGGGGTGACGTACCATGCAGGCATGGCTCACACGGTGAATCTCTCGCTCGTAGATGGCGCTGCTGCCGCCGCCAGGAACGTGTCTCTCATGCAGGTGGGTGGGTGGGTGGGTGGGTGGGGGTGGGTGGGTGGGTGGGTCTGGTCTCTCGGAAGCAAGCTGCGTGCGACGCCTCTCGCATGCACGTGGGGGGCTGTGCGACGCCTCTCGCATGCACGTGGGGGGCTGTGCGACGCCTCTCGCATGCACGTGGGGGGCTGTGCGACGCCTCTCGCATGCACGTGGGGGGCTGTGCGACGCCTCTCGCATGCACGTGGGGGGCTGTGCGACGCCTCTCGCATGCACGTGGGTGGCTGTGGTGTCTGGACTCACATGCATAGCAGCACGTAACGCCTTCGCTGCTCCAACGACTCTGCTCCAACGACTCTGCTCCAACGACTCTGTGCATGATCACATGCGACTCCATGCTTCATTCGCGAGCCGCCTCACTCCCCTGCTTGCTTCCCCTCACTGCCCCCTCTCCCAAATTCCCCAGGCGCGCATGTGTCTGCCCGGCGCGCTCTCCCGCGCGCGCGTGGCGGGGCGCATGGTGCTATGTGAGGCGGGGGGGACGACGCCCGAGGCCAAGGCGGGGGAGGTGCGGAGGGCGGGCGGGCGCGCGATAGTGATTGCGTCGGCGTCCGCCACGGCGGGCAGTGTGGGGGCGGGGTACGCGCTCGACCTGCCCTCGCTCGTTGTCAACCGTTCCATGACGCAGGCGCTGCGAAGCTTCCTCAATCGTTCCAGCAAGTGCGTGTGATGGTGGTGGTGGTGGAAGGGTTGGGTGCGCCTTGTGTAATGAAAGGGCTCCATTGCATTAGTCCTTTTTTCTATAGTTTTCTCGTTCCCACCCTCAATTACGCTCACTTGTCCCCAACCTTGTCCCCTATTCACCCCCCCCCCTCCCCTCCTCCGCATCCCTCCAACCCCCTACCCGACCTCACTCCCCCCCACCACCAGTTCCCGAGCAACCCTCTCCTCGCTCTCACTCCAGTCCAACCAGGTCGCACCAGTGATGGTGCCCTTCCCCTCCTTGTCTGCCCACTCATAACCACCTTGCCCCTATTCCCCTTCTCCCCCCCCCCGACCCACTCCCCCCCAAAGTCCCCACGCCACGCTCTCGTCGCTCTCACTCCAGTCCAACCAGGTCGCGCCAGTCATGGCGCCCTTCTCCTCAACAGGCCCCATCGTCGACCCCAACCTCCCTCCCGGGCACTCCCCCCAGGGCTTCACCAACGACATCTTAAAGCCTGACATCACCGGCCCGGGAGTCAACCTCCTCGGCCCCATGGCCTCGGGAAAAAAAGGGGAAGCCGCGTACCAGCTGCTGTCTGGAACGTCTATGGCTGTTCCCCATCTTGTGGGGATCGCGGCGCTGATAATGCAGAAGTACCCTAGCTGGAGCCCAGCCGCGGTCAAGTCTGCGATAATGACGACGGGCACGGTGTGGAATAATAGGAACGAGCCGATCCGGACGTCATCGGGGCGTCGAGCGACGCCTTGGAATTTTGGTTCAGGGCATGTGGTGGCTGCGAGGGCCATGGACCCGGGGTTGGTGTACAATGTGGGGGCCAAGGGCTACATGGCATTTCTCTTTGGGATTGACTTCGGCACTGCACAAAAATCCTTCCAGCAGCAGCAGCCGCAGAAGGGAGGTGGGCGGACGGCGATCAAGGCGTACGATCTGAACCTGCCGAATATCTGCGTGTCGAATCTCATGGGGACAGTCACGGTGGTGCGGCGGGTGACGAACGTGGCGCGGCAGGCATCGAGGTACCGGGCGCGGGTGGTAGCGCCGAAGAATGTGCGCGTGGTGGTGGCGCCGGCTGCGTTCACCATTGCACCGGGCGCGTCGCAGGTGTTTTCGGTGACGTTCACGGTGGTGCAGGCCACGCGGGCGTTCTCGTTTGGCAGCCTCACGTGGGTGGATGGCACACACCGTGTGCGCTCTGTGCTGGCCGCGCAGCCCGTTCAGGCGTGAGTAATAGACACATGCAGCCCGTTCAGGCGTGAGTAATAGACACATGCAGCCCATTCAGGCGTGCGTGGGTGGCAAGACTTGTGGGACATTTGGGTCAACTCAAGTCTCCTCTTGGGTGGATGGCACACACCGTGTGCGGTCTGTGCTGGCCGTGCAGCTCGTTCAGGCGTGAGTAACGACATGTGTGACTCTTGGCTGGTGCGGCAATAGAGGAGCGTGACTAGTTTGGTGCATTGTCTTCAGGCGTGACTTGAAGGGCAGGAGAGGAGGCGAGGGGATCAACGGTGAAGGTGCGTGCCAGCGTGACTTGCAGGCTCAATTGGTTTCGGCAGCTGCGGCTGTGGCTCCCTGTGTGGGTGGGGGGGTGATGCTTGAAGCCGAGCTTGTCTGGGCGGGCGGAGTTCGGACGAAATGCAGTGCAGCTGAGCAGACGGGCTTGGGGCGCTGAGCGCAGACGAAGCAGTTTCGCGAAGGTTGGTTGGGATGTTCTTACGGCGATGACCCTCAAGCTGGATGAATTGTTTGACCACACGCGCAACGGTTGAACGGTTTGGGCGGAACGTAGCACGGTTCGGGGACCACATTCCGCTGATTGCAGGGGGCGAAAAAGGGCTGCGCGCTCTTGGTCGTGTTCATGGACATTGACGGGTAGTAGTCGCGGTGCGGCACAAATCATCGACTTCACATTTAAATTGTTTCGATACAGTTTAGGAAGCTGAGGCGTGCATAATTGTAGAGCGCTACAGCACGTAGCGAGTAGTGGCTAATTACAATGTGTTGTAGTATGCTGACCATTTAAAAAATTACTATTCATTCAAAGAGGTTTTCTCTTGGAAGGAATCTCAGTTTACCTGCGCAGCCAGCTTAAATGCGTACAACAATGTACAATAAATATGTACTGGTATCGTTTTTCGTTTGATGCTAACTCTCAGGAAGCAGAACAGCAAAATCTCAGATGATGTCTGATGGACTCTACCCAAGTGGCACTCATTGTAGCTGTATCTGCTCTCCTTCTCCATGCAGCCGCTGTGACGTTTCCGCTTGACAAACCAGCTACAGGCTGAGCAATATCCATGCCCACCCTCCCACACACTCGCACACACACGTCCTTCCCAGCTTGCAGGGAGCTCTCAAACCACCAGGTGCCTGTCGAACAAGCCACCCATATGGCACTGACATCGCTAAAGTGGAACAACTACCGTATGTGCCACTCGTCCAATTACCTACTGAAACCTAAGAACAGAGGACCAATCACCAACTGCATTCGCAGCCCTCTTCACACATCAGATGTCTCGGCTGGGTGGGGCCCTGTGCCCGCCGAAGAAGCTTCCAGGAAGGCACTTGCGGTCGAAGGGACCAGGGAACACTTTCTTGCCTTGAGCCTCCTCCCACGACGTGAACTCTCTGAACTTGATTGGCGGCTTGCCGAATATGTGCAGGAACTGCAGGCGCTTCTTGCCACTATTCACGAGCTGAGAGGAATTGGGGAGAGTGGGGTGGAGTGGGGGGGGGAGGGAGGGGGGAGAAATGGTGATGAGGAGGTATCAGTATAGCCTCTAAAGCAGATGAATAGCATGCAGAAGATGTGCAGCGACTGCAGGCGCTTCTTGCTGCTGTTTACCAGTTTAAACGGAGGGGGATGAAAGGAGAGGTTGAGGCAAAATGAGGGAGGGAGGGAGGGGGGAGGCAGGATGAGAATAGACTTGAGGTGGGCGGGCAGCTGACAGATAGAGTGGCGCTGGGAGGGCGGATGAGCACCTTCCGTTGAGCGTGTTGTGCAGCTGAGAGGGGGGTGTGGGAGAGGGGGGGGAAGGGGAAGAGCGAGGTGGGACGGGCTCTGTAAGCAAGGCAGCAGAGAAGCTGAATTTGTTTTTTGAGAATTCTAAAAAAACGGGCTGTGTAGGCAAGGCAGCAGAGATGAGCGCACAGTGTGGGCGACTTTCGAGGCACCTCAAAAAGCGCGCAGGGTTTAGGGTGAGGTGAGGGTGAGGTTCGGCCAGCCCTGATGGCCGAGGGTGAGATTCGGCCAGCCCTGATGGCCGAGGGTGAGGTTCGGCCAGTCCTGATGGCCGAGGGTGGGGTTCGGCCAGCCCTGATGGCCACTTGACATGCCTCAAACGCTGCAGCCTTTTCCAACTAGCGCGCACCTGTTGCAACCTTTAGGGGTCTGCTGCGACTGGTTACCATACCTGGTGAACGGTGTTGCGGGGGATGATGACGGTTGAGTTGGCGTGGAAGGGCGTGGAGGCAAAGGGGGCGGGCGACACCTGGTCCGTGGCGTTGGGACGGAAGCGCAGCGCGCCCTCCCCCTTTAGTATCACCACCACCGTGTCCTGGGAGGGGGGAGGGGAAGGGGGGAAGGGGAAGGGGGAACGTCTCAAAAAGCGGGGCGGGCGACACCTGGTATGTGGCTTGGGGCGGAAGCGCGCCCTCCCCCTTGAGCACCACCACCACTGTGTCCTGGGGACGGGAGAGAAGCGGGATTGCGAGGAGGAGGGGAGCGGGGATAATGGAGGAAATTTGAGGGACGTGAGTGACAGGCGGTGGAAGCGCAGCGCGCCCTCCCCCTTGAGCACCACCACCACTGTGTCCTGGGGGATAGGTCGAAGTAAGAAGATAAGGGGGGATGGGGGGGGGGGGAGATAGAAGGGGTATCCGGGTGGGGGATGAGGGGAGGATACAGAAGGACAATGAGGCAGATGAGGGGAAGATAAGGAGGGGAAGATAAGGAGGAGCAGTGTGTGAGCGTAAAGAGCAGAGGCCCCTTTCCTCTAGCAGCATCACCACCACCAATGTGTCTTGGTAGGGAGAAAGGGGAAGGGGGGATGGGGAAGGGAGAATGGGGAAGGGGGGATGGAGAAGGGGGGATGGGGAAGGGGGGATGGGGAAGGGGGGATGGGGAAGGGGGGATGGGGAAGGGGGGGATGGGGAAGGGGGGATGGGGAAGGGGGGATGGGGAAGGGGGTGTGTGGAAGGGGGTGTGTGGAAGGGGGTGTGGGGCAAGGGGGTGTGGGGCAAGAGGGGATACAAGGCAGAGAAATGCTAGCCAGTAGGGGCGACAAGCCATGCACCTTCCCATGCAGCAGCGGTCAGTCCACCCACTGTGTCCTACACTCCAGCACACCGCTCCCCCTCCCTTCATCCGCACCTGCTCCTGAGGCTAGCTTTGGTGGAGTGGCCCTTTTGAGAACTCTCAAGGGTAACACCAGTGGCCCTGGGCTAATTCTCTAAGGGTAACACCAGTGGCCCTGGGCTAATTCTCAAGGGTAACACCAGTGGCCCTGGGCTAATTCTCAAGGGTAACACCAGTGGCCCTGGGCTAATTCTCAAGGGTAACACCAGTGGCCCTGGGCTAATTCTCAAGGGTAACACCAGTGGCCCTGGGCTAATTCTCAAGGGTAACACCAGTGGCCCTGGGCTAATTCTCAAGGGTAACACCAGTGGCCCTGGGCTAATTCTCAAGGGTAACACCAGTGGCCCTGGGCTAATTCTCAAGGGTAACACCAGTGGCCCTGGGCTAATTCTCAAGGGTAACACCAGTGGCCCTGGGCTAATTCTCAAGGGTAACACCAGTGGCCCTGGGCTAATTCTCAAGGGGAACACCAGTGGCCCTGGGCTAATTCTCAAGGGTAACACCAGTGGCCCTGGGCTAATTCTCAAGGGGAACACCAGTGGCCCTGGGCTAATTCTCAAGGGTAACACCAGTGGCCCTGGGCTAATTCTCAAGGGTAACACCAGTGGCCCTGGGCTAATTCTCAAGGGTAACACCAGTGGCCCTGGGCTAATTCTCAAGGGTAACACCAGTGGCCCTGGGCTAATTCTCAAGGGTAACACCAGTGGCCCTGGGCTAATTCTCAAGGGTAACACCAGTGGCCCTGGGCTAATTCTCAAGGGTAACACCAGTGGCCCTGGGCTAATTCTCAAGGGTAACACCAGTGGCCCTGGGCTAATTCTCAAGGGTAACACCAGTGGCCCTGGGCTAATTCTCAAGGGTAACACCAGTGGCCCTGGGCTAATTCTCAAGGGTAACACCAGTGGCCCTGGGCTAATTCTCAAGGGTAACACCAGTGGCCCTGGGCTAATTCTCAAGGGTAACACCAGTGGCCCTGGGCTAATTCTCAAGGGTAACACCAGTGGCCCTGGGCTAATTCTCAAGGGTAACACCAGTGGCCCTGGGCTAATTCTCAAGGGTAACACCAGTGGCCCTGGGCTAATTCTCAAGGGTAACACCAGTGGCCCTGGGCTAATTCTCAAGGGTAACACCAGTGGCCCTGGGCTAATTCTCAAGGGTAACACCAGTGGCCCTGGGCTAATTCTCAAGGGTAACACCAGTGGCCCTGGGCTAATTCTCAAGGGTAACACCAGTGGCCCTGGGCTAATTCTCAAGGGTAACACCAGTGGCCCTGGGCTAATTCTCAAGGGTAACACCAGTGGCCCTGGGCTAATTCTCAAGGGTAACACCAGTGGCCCTGGGCTAATTCTCAAGGGTAACACCAGTGGCCCTGGGCTAATTCTCAAGGGTAACACCAGTGGCCCTGGGCTAATTCTCAAGGGTAACACCAGTGGCCCTGGGCTAATTCTCAAGGGTAACACCAGTGGCCCTGGGCTAATTCTCAAGGGTAACACCAGTGGCCCTGGGCTAATTCTCAAGGGTAACACCAGTGGCCCTGGGCTAATTCTCAAGGGTAACACCAGTGGCCCTGGGCTAATTCTCAAGGGTAACACCAGTGGCCCTGGGCTAATTCTCAAGGGTAACACCAGTGGCCCTGGGCTAATTCTCAAGGGTAACACCAGTGGCCCTGGGCTAATTCTCAAGGGTAACACCAGTGGCCCTGGGCTAATTCTCAAGGGTAACACCAGTGGCCCTGGGCTAATTCTCAAGGGTAACACCAGTGGCCCTGGGCTAATTCTCAAGGGTAACACCAGTGGCCCTGGGCTAATTCTCAAGGGTAACACCAGTGGCCCTGGGCTAATTCTCAAGGGTAACACCAGTGGCCCTGGGCTAATTCTCAAGGGTAACACCAGTGGCCCTGGGCTAATTCTCAAGGGTAACACCAGTGGCCCTGGGCTAATTCTCAAGGGTAACACCAGTGGCCCTGGGCTAATTCTCAAGGGTAACACCAGTGGCCCTGGGCTAATTCTCAAGGGTAACACCAGTGGCCCTGGGCTAATTCTCAAGGGTAACACCAGTGGCCCTGGGCTAATTCTCAAGGGTAACACCAGTGGCCCTGGGCTAATTCTCAAGGGTAACACCAGTGGCCCTGGGCTAATTCTCAAGGGTAACACCAGTGGCCCTGGGCTAATTCTCAAGGGTAACACCAGTGGCCCTGGGCTAATTCTCAAGGGTAACACCAGTGGCCCTGGGCTAATTCTCAAGGGTAACACCAGTGGCCCTGGGCTAATTCTCAAGGGTAACACCAGTGGCCCTGGGCTAATTCTCAAGGGTAACACCAGTGGCCCTGGGCTAATTCTCAAGGGTAACACCAGTGGCCCTGGGCTAATTCTCAAGGGTAACACCAGTGGCCCTGGGCTAATTCTCAAGGGTAACACCAGTGGCCCTGGGCTAATTCTCAAGGGTAACACCAGTGGCCCTGGGCTAATTCTCAAGGGTAACACCAGTGGCCCTGGGCTAATTCTCAAGGGTAACACCAGTGGCCCTGGGCTAATTCTCAAGGGTAACACCAGTGGCCCTGGGCTAATTCTCAAGGGTAACACCAGTGGCCCTGGGCTAATTCTCAAGGGTAACACCAGTGGCCCTGGGCTAATTCTCAAGGGTAACACCAGTGGCCCTGGGCTAATTCTCAAGGGTAACACCAGTGGCCCTGGGCTAATTCTCAAGGGTAACACCAGTGGCCCTGGGCTAATTCTCAAGGGTAACACCAGTGGCCCTGGGCTAATTCTCAAGGGTAACACCAGTGGCCCTGGGCTAATTCTCAAGGGTAACACCAGTGGCCCTGGGCTAATTCTCAAGGGTAACACCAGTGGCCCTGGGCTAATTCTCAAGGGTAACACCAGTGGCCCTGGGCTAATTCTCAAGGGTAACACCAGTGGCCCTGGGCTAATTCTCAAGGGTAACACCAGTGGCCCTGGGCTAATTCTCAAGGGAACACCAGTGGCCCTGGGCTAATTCTCAAGGGTAACACCAGTGGCCCTGGGCTAATTCTCAAGGGTAACACCAGTGGCCCTGGGCTAATTCTCAAGGGTAACACCAGTGGCCCTGGGCTAATTCTCAAGGGTAACACCAGTGGCCCTGGGCTAATTCTCAAGGGTAACACCAGTGGCCCTGGGCTAATTCTCAAGGGTAACACCAGTGGCCCTGGGCTAATTCTCAAGGGTAACACCAGTGGCCCTGGGCTAATTCTCAAGGGTAACACCAGTGGCCCTGGGCTAATTCTCAAGGGTAACACCAGTGGCCCTGGGCTAATTCTCAAGGGTAACACCAGTGGCCCTGGGCTAATTCTCAAGGGTAACACCAGTGGCCCTGGGCTAATTCTCAAGGGTAACACCAGTGGCCCTGGGCTAATTCTCAAGGGTAACACCAGTGGCCCTGGGCTAATTCTCAAGGGTAACACCAGTGGCCCTGGGCTAATTCTCAAGGGTAACACCAGTGGCCCTGGGCTAATTCTCAAGGGTAACACCAGTGGCCCTGGGCTAATTCTCAAGGGTAACACCAGTGGCCCTGGGCTAATTCTCAAGGGTAACACCAGTGGCCCTGGGCTAATTCTCAAGGGTAACACCAGTGGCCCTGGGCTAATTCTCAAGGGTAACACCAGTGGCCCTGGGCTAATTCTCAAGGGTAACACCAGTGGCCCTGGGCTAATTCTCAAGGGTAACACCAGTGGCCCTGGGCTAATTCTCAAGGGTAACACCAGTGGCCCTGGGCTAATTCTCAAGGGTAACACCAGTGGCCCTGGGCTAATTCTCAAGGGTAACACCAGTGGCCCTGGGCTAATTCTCAAGGGTAACACCAGTGGCCCTGGGCTAATTCTCAAGGGTAACACCAGTGGCCCTGGGCTAATTCTCAAGGGTAACACCAGTGGCCCTGGGCTAATTCTCAAGGGTAACACCAGTGGCCCTGGGCTAATTCTCAAGGGTAACACCAGTGGCCCTGGGCTAATTCTCAAGGGTAACACCAGTGGCCCTGGGCTAATTCTCAAGGGTAACACCAGTGGCCCTGGGCTAATTCTCAAGGGTAACACCAGTGGCCCTGGGCTAATTCTCAAGGGTAACACCAGTGGCCCTGGGCTAATTCTCAAGGGTAACACCAGTGGCCCTGGGCTAATTCTCAAGGGTAACACCAGTGGCCCTGGGCTAATTCTCAAGGGTAACACCAGTGGCCCTGGGCTAATTCTCAAGGGTAACACCAGTGGCCCTGGGCTAATTCTCAAGGGTAACACCAGTGGCCCTGGGCTAATTCTCAAGGGTAACACCAGTGGCCCTGGGCTAATTCTCAAGGGTAACACCAGTGGCCCTGGGCTAATTCTCAAGGGTAACACCAGTGGCCCTGGGCTAATTCTCAAGGGTAACACCAGTGGCCCTGGGCTAATTCTCAAGGGTAACACCAGTGGCCCTGGGCTAATTCTCAAGGGTAACACCAGTGGCCCTGGGCTAATTCTCAAGGGTAACACCAGTGGCCCTGGGCTAATTCTCAAGGGTAACACCAGTGGCCCTGGGCTAATTCTCAAGGGTAACACCAGTGGCCCTGGGCTAATTCTCAAGGGTAACACCAGTGGCCCTGGGCTAATTCTCAAGGGTAACACCAGTGGCCCTGGGCTAATTCTCAAGGGTAACACCAGTGGCCCTGGGCTAATTCTCAAGGGTAACACCAGTGGCCCTGGGCTAATTCTCAAGGGTAACACCAGTGGCCCTGGGCTAATTCTCAAGGGTAACACCAGTGGCCCTGGGCTAATTCTCAAGGGTAACACCAGTGGCCCTGGGCTAATTCTCAAGGGTAACACCAGTGGCCCTGGGCTAATTCTCAAGGGTAACACCAGTGGCCCTGGGCTAATTCTCAAGGGTAACACCAGTGGCCCTGGGCTAATTCTCAAGGGTAACACCAGTGGCCCTGGGCTAATTCTCAAGGGTAACACCAGTGGCCCTGGGCTAATTCTCAAGGGTAACACCAGTGGCCCTGGGCTAATTCTCAAGGGTAACACCAGTGGCCCTGGGCTAATTCTCAAGGGTAACACCAGTGGCCCTGGGCTAATTCTCAAGGGTAACACCAGTGGCCCTGGGCTAATTCTCAAGGGTAACACCAGTGGCCCTGGGCTAATTCTCAAGGGTAACACCAGTGGCCCTGGGCTAATTCTCAAGGGTAACACCAGTGGCCCTGGGCTAATTCTCAAGGGTAACACCAGTGGCCCTGGGCTAATTCTCAAGGGTAACACCAGTGGCCCTGGGCTAATTCTCAAGGGTAACACCAGTGGCCCTGGGCTAATTCTCAAGGGTAACACCAGTGGCCCTGGGCTAATTCTCAAGGGTAACACCAGTGGCCCTGGGCTAATTCTCAAGGGTAACACCAGTGGCCCTGGGCTAATTCTCAAGGGTAACACCAGTGGCCCTGGGCTAATTCTCAAGGGTAACACCAGTGGCCCTGGGCTAATTCTCAAGGGTAACACCAGTGGCCCTGGGCTAATTCTCAAGGGTAACACCAGTGGCCCTGGGCTAATTCTCAAGGGTAACACCAGTGGCCCTGGGCTAATTCTCAAGGGTAACACCAGTGGCCCTGGGCTAATTCTCAAGGGTAACACCAGTGGCCCTGGGCTAATTCTCAAGGGTAACACCAGTGGCCCTGGGCTAATTCTCAAGGGTAACACCAGTGGCCCTGGGCTAATTCTCAAGGGTAACACCAGTGGCCCTGGGCTAATTCTCAAGGGTAACACCAGTGGCCCTGGGCTAATTCTCAAGGGTAACACCAGTGGCCCTGGGCTAATTCTCAAGGGTAACACCAGTGGCCCTGGGCTAATTCTCAAGGGAACACCAGTGGCCCTGGGCTAATTCTCAAGGGTAACACCAGTGGCCCTGGGCTAATTCTCAAGGGTAACACCAGTGGCCCTGGGCTAATTCTCAAGGGTAACACCAGTGGCCCTGGGCTAATTCTCAAGGGTAACACCAGTGGCCCTGGGCTAATTCTCAAGGGTAACACCAGTGGCCCTGGGCTAATTCTCAAGGGTAACACCAGTGGCCCTGGGCTAATTCTCAAGGGTAACACCAGTGGCCCTGGGCTAATTCTCAAGGGTAACACCAGTGGCCCTGGGCTAATTCTCAAGGGTAACACCAGTGGCCCTGGGCTAATTCTCAAGGGTAACACCAGTGGCCCTGGGCTAATTCTCAAGGGTAACACCAGTGGCCCTGGGCTAATTCTCAAGGGTAACACCAGTGGCCCTGGGCTAATTCTCAAGGGTAACACCAGTGGCCCTGGGCTAATTCTCAAGGGTAACACCAGTGGCCCTGGGCTAATTCTCAAGGGTAACACCAGTGGCCCTGGGCTAATTCTCAAGGGTAACACCAGTGGCCCTGGGCTAATTCTCAAGGGTAACACCAGTGGCCCTGGGCTAATTCTCAAGGGTAACACCAGTGGCCCTGGGCTAATTCTCAAGGGTAACACCAGTGGCCCTGGGCTAATTCTCAAGGGTAACACCAGTGGCCCTGGGCTAATTCTCAAGGGTAACACCAGTGGCCCTGGGCTAATTCTCAAGGGTAACACCAGTGGCCCTGGGCTAATTCTCAAGGGTAACACCAGTGGCCCTGGGCTAATTCTCAAGGGTAACACCAGTGGCCCTGGGCTAATTCTCAAGGGTAACACCAGTGGCCCTGGGCTAATTCTCAAGGGTAACACCAGTGGCCCTGGGCTAATTCTCAAGGGTAACACCAGTGGCCCTGGGCTAATTCTCAAGGGTAACACCAGTGGCCCTGGGCTAATTCTCAAGGGTAACACCAGTGGCCCTGGGCTAATTCTCAAGGGGAACACCAGTGGCCCTGGGCTAATTCTCAAGGGTAACACCAGTGGCCCTGGGCTAATTCTCAAGGGTAACACCAGTGGCCCTGGGCTAATTCTCAAGGGTAACACCAGTGGCCCTGGGCTAATTCTCAAGGGTAACACCAGTGGCCCTGGGCTAATTCTCAAGGGTAACACCAGTGGCCCTGGGCTAATTCTCAAGGGTAACACCAGTGGCCCTGGGCTAATTCTCAAGGGTAACACCAGTGGCCCTGGGCTAATTCTCAAGGGTAACACCAGTGGCCCTGGGCTAATTCTCAAGGGTAACACCAGTGGCCCTGGGCTAATTCTCAAGGGTAACACCAGTGGCCCTGGGCTAATTCTCAAGGGTAACACCAGTGGCCCTGGGCTAATTCTCAAGGGTAACACCAGTGGCCCTGGGCTAATTCTCAAGTGTAACACCAGTGGCCCTGGGCTAATTCTCAAGGGTAACACCAGTGGCCCTGGGCTAATTCTCAAGGGTAACACCAGTGGCCCTGGGCTAATTCTCAAGGGTAACACCAGTGGCCCTGGGCTAATTCTCAAGGGTAACACCAGTGGCCCTGGGCTAATTCTCAAGGGTAACACCAGTGGCCCTGGGCTAATTCTCAAGGGTAACACCAGTGGCCCTGGGCTAATTCTCAAGGGTAACACCAGTGGCCCTGGGCTAATTCTCAAGGGTAACACCAGTGGCCCTGGGCTAATTCTCAAGGGTAACACCAGTGGCCCTGGGCTAATTCTCAAGGGTAACACCAGTGGCCCTGGGCTAATTCTCAAGGGTAACACCAGTGGCCCTGGGCTAATTCTCAAGGGTAACACCAGTGGCCCTGGGCTAATTCTCAAGGGTAACACCAGTGGCCCTGGGCTAATTCTCAAGGGTAACACCAGTGGCCCTGGGCTAATTCTCAAGGGTAACACCAGTGGCCCTGGGCTAATTCTCAAGGGTAACACCAGTGGCCCTGGGCTAATTCTCAAGGGTAACACCAGTGGCCCTGGGCTAATTCTCAAGGGTAACACCAGTGGCCCTGGGCTAATTCTCAAGGGTAACACCAGTGGCCCTGGGCTAATTCTCAAGGGTAACACCAGTGGCCCTGGGCTAATTCTCAAGGGTAACACCAGTGGCCCTGGGCTAATTCTCAAGGGTAACACCAGTGGCCCTGGGCTAATTCTCAAGGGTAACACCAGTGGCCCTGGGCTAATTCTCAAGGGTAACACCAGTGGCCCTGGGCGAACGACAGCAGTGCAGCCACACACACCCTTCGCGTCGAATCAACAGTCAATCAGCCACCTATTTCCCCCTCACCCCCTTCCCCCTCACCCCCTTCCCCCTCACCTGTTCCTGTGAGCGCACGTTGGTGGCATAACCTGGGGCAAACGTCCGAAGCCACACCCTTTGGGCGGACAACAACCACCTTCATCCTCGCCTTCCCCTCACTGCACTGCATCTCTCCGCCTTCCCTTTCCCCCCCCCCCCCTCCTCACCTGTTCCTGTGAGCGCACGTTGGTGGAGTAACCCGGGGCAAACGTCTGAAGCCACACCTCCACGCCCTTGTTGCCGTGATGCACGGCGCCTGACAGCGTCACATGCACCAACCCGTCAAAGCCAAAGTTCTCTGGTGGGAGCAGTGGGAGAAAGGTGGGGAGGAGGGGAGGAGGAGCGTACGATGTGCAGGGGTACAAGTCAAGGCACCTCCACGGGCTTGTTGCCGTGGTGCACAGTGCCTGACAGCGTCACATGCACCAGGCCGTCGAACCCAAAGTTCTCTGGTGGGAGGGAGGCAGAGGGGTGGGGTGGTGGGAAAGAGGAGGGGAATGGGAAGGGGATTTGCAAGGCATGACTCGAAGCACCTCCACGCCCTTGCTGCCGTGATGCACGGCGCCTGACAGCGTCACATGCACCAGGCCGTCAAACCCAAAGTTCTCTGGTGGTTGGTGGCATTGGCAGGGGAGCGGGGAGGAGGGGGAGAGGCGGGGAGGAGGAATGAGGTATTTGCAGGACACGCTTCAAGCCAGATTTGCAGGACACGCTCTGGAATTTTCCGGTTGTGATTGCTACTGCTTCGAACTTACCCTGGTAAAATGGCTACTGCTTCGAACTTACCCTGGTAAAATGGCTACTGTTTCGAACTTACCCCGGTAAAATGGCTACTGCTTCGAACTTACCCCGGTAATATGGCTACTGCTTCGAACTTACCCTGGTAATATGGCTACTGCTTTGAACTTACCCTGGTACAGCTTGTTGATCTTCTGCACCACGGGTCGCTCCGTGAAGCACATGGGCTGCGCGTCCGCGCGCCAAAACGCACAGGCGAGAGCGAGCGCGGTGACGCACACCAGCCGCGCAAGCGCGATCGCGCTGGGTCTGCTGGCGCAACCTGACGGCCGCGGCTCCATTATCCGGCCGACTGGTTAATCAACCGGCCAGCTAACCGCGGGAATCGGAGCAGCAATACAAAACGAGGGAACTCTCGGGATGGTCGGGGAGGAAAGAAAAGGCGCTAGTGCAACAAGCGAGTAATGGAAGGTTGGGGGGAGGTGACGCCAGCAGGTATTGGCAAGGGGAGGGCTGGCTGTTGTGATTGCAATGGCGTTGGACAGATAACTGATTCCTGAACGATTTGTGTGTCCCTAGTGCTTTTGCGGTGCAGTCTGGTTTCTACGGTGTTCGTGAACATTTACACAGGGTAGAGAGGGAGGCAGTGCGGTTCCACCAGTTCGCACCCAGATTCACATTCCACCTCGACGACTCGCTATCAGCGCGCAACTCTGGAAAGTTCGAATTTGTTTGGATTGATCACTACGGAAACATTCAAACTCTAATCAAAGCTGACACAAAGATTGAAAACACTCATACTACTACCCTCAAAGATGGCTCCCGTCCCATTAATTAATGCAATTACTCTTTTTTCACTCGGATTCAAACTGTAGTCGGTGCAAAACCACCCCATTTCTAGCAGCTGCATTTCTTCCCCACCGACCCAGTCGTGGCTCCTGCGAACATACGATGTGGGGTGGACGTGCAAGTGCCATATGGGTTGATGGGAGTGAGCACGAGCAATGAGAGCATGGCGAACAAACGAAAAAAGAGAGCGTGCGAGACACAGGGTTGGGCACAAGTACACAAACAGAGAGGGAGAGAAGCGGTACAAGCACACCCCTCTGTCACTAACCTGGCCAATGCCTGCGATGACGAAATCTGATCGATGTGCGAATGCAATAGAGTTAATGAAGCCAACCTGGAAGAAAGGGCACATGTAGAGCAAGAGAGGGAGGGTCGTTTGAGAAATGGTCACTATTAAGGTTGGTTGAATAATCAAGCACCTGAACAAAAAAAAGGCACAACAACAAATTCTGGGCAGAATATTTAGGTGCAACAGATAGCAGTTCATGAGTTCAGAACAAATCACTGATGATGGGTCAGGTGAAAAGGGGAAGAAAGGGGGGAAAAGGGGAACAGGGATGAGGGGTGGTAATGAGATGGTAATGCAATTCCGGCCAGCCAATGCAACGCACCGTTGGCAGTGACCCCACTGGGCGAAGCCGGTTTGCTGACGTGTCGCAATGCCACAGCCTGAGAGCGCCGTCGCCTGCCCCGCTGGCTGCCAGGTCAGAGCCAGGCGCCACGGCGACAGCCCCCACCCATGACTGCACCACACTCGGAGCTACCACTGGCGATGCGACAGACGGAGCAGCAGCAGCGGAAGCCAAGGGGGCAGCATCTGGGGCGGCCTCTGCTGAAACGCCGTTAGGCAGCCCATTCTGTGCAGCATCAGGAGCAGCGGACACGGCAGGTGTACCAGCAGCAGCAGCACCAGCGGCACCACTGGTCAGCAGCAGCAGCAGCAGCAGCGGTGGTGCCATGGGCTGCCCGCACGACATGCACGGGTTTCTTCTTGAGGGCGGACCAGAGCGACAGCGACCCGTCATCACCGCCGGTGATGAACGCAGAGGGCGAGAGGAAGGCGCACGAGTCCAGGCAGGAGGGCGCGGGCGCTCTGAACACCAGCTGGGTCTCCTCTGGTACCTGCCGTGGGATGGGGTGGCACAGGAGAGAGCAGGAGGAGGAAGAGGAGAGGAAAGAGGCAGTGAGGAGTGCAAAAAGGGGCGGCATGAAGGAGCAGGCAGGCAGGCGCCCTTTGGTGCCTTGCGTGCCCCCTTGCCTGCCTTTGGGTGCTGAATGCATATGGTCAAACATAAGGGGGGGGGTTCATGCGAGGCCAGCACAAGAGAAGAGAAGAGAAGAAGAGCCAGGCACAGGATGGCATTCCCAACCCCACAGCGCCCCAACCAACATGCCCCCTCCCGCACACAACTTCTACAGCCTGCATCAGATAGCACCTCCCCCAAGCATGCCCCACCAACATGCACCTTCCAGAGCCGGCAGGTACAGTCTATCACCACCAACACCGCCCTCTGCGGCAAGCGCACCTTCCACAGCCTGCAGGTACCGTCTCTTACCATCTCTCTCGACGGGCACCACCCTCTGCCAGTGCCTGGTCATTAAGCGCCACTATCCCCTCCGCCTGCTATGCAAACCCCAACCCCCCCCCCCAACACCTTCCCCACCCACCCACAGAAAACTTCCAGAGTCGGCAGGTGCGGTTCCTGGCCACAGACGCGACCCTTTGAGTCTGCCATTCCAGATAGCACCTCACCCACACGCACCTTCCACAGCCTGCAGGCACGGTCCGTGGCGACAGACACCACCCTCTGTGGCTGCCTCAGCGCCTGCAGTGCCTCCCTCTCCGCCTCGTATACAACCCCCCCTCCCCTTCCCCACCCCTTCCCCTCCCCTTCCCCACCCCTTCCCCACCCCTTTCCCACCCACGCGAACCTCCCAGAGCATGCAAGTACGGTCCCTGGCGACAGACACCACCCTCTGCGGCTGCCTCAGCGCCTGTAGCGCCACTATCTCCGCCTGTTTTACAAACCACCACCCTCCCACCCCATCCCCACCCCCCTTCCCCACCCACACGCACCTTCCAGAGCCTGCAGGTACGGTCTCTCGCCACGGACACGACCCGCTGTGGGTGCCTGAGCGCCTGCAGCGCCACTATCTCCGCCTGGTGGCCGAACAGCGAATCCATGTACGCCACGTCAGCGCAGCTCCACAGCTTAATGCTGCGGTCGGCGGATGCAGAGAAAAGGTCGAGCGATGCTGGCCGGAAGGATAGCGACATGACTGCCCCCCTGTGGCCGGCAAAGGACTGGCGTGGGGCGAGAGGGGTGGGGAGGGGGGGGGGGGGGGGGGGGGGGGGGGGGGGGGGGGGGGAAGGGTGGAAGAGGAACGGGAAAAAAATGAGGAAGGAGAGCGACATGACCGCCCCCCTGTGGCACGCTAAGGACTGGAAGAGGGAAGTGGAGAGGGAGAGAGTGGGGCAGGAGAGCGACATGACGGCCCCTCTCTGGCGGGCAAAGGACTGCTCCCCTCTGCCCCTAACCATAATCTGTAAACCACACACGAACCTCCAAAACCCCGAACCCTGATCCTTGCCCCTCACCTTGACGTGCGCGCGCGTGCGTGCATCCCACAGGTGAACCATGCGGTCGAGTCCCCCCGCTGCTGAGAACCCATGCGTCCCTACTACAAGCAAAAACTCCAAACCCCAAACCCCGTGCCCTTTTGCTGACCTTGACGTGCGCGCGCGTGCGTGCGTCCCACAGGTGCACCATGCGGTCGAGTCCCCCCGCCGCCAGGTACCGCCCGTCGTCGCTCACACTCACGCTCAGCACGTGCCGGCTGCTCTTCCCCCCCTTCCCCTTTCCCTTATTCCCCCCTCCGCCTCCGCCACCCGCCCCCGCGCCCCCATCCGACCGGGAGTTGGAATTTGAATTTTCGGGCCAGGGGAACTTAAAGCTCGTTCCCGACTCGACGTCCCAGCCCACTATTAGTCCGTCCTTTGACACAGCGAAGCCCGTTCTGTCGTCCAATGAGAGGGCGACACCTGTAACCGACTGCTTATGTCTGCGTCCCACTGCCTGCCCTGGCGATGCTGAAGTCGACGGAATGAAACGCGTCGCGATTCGCCGGATCACCCTGCCGCTCTCTTCTAACGCATCTTGCTTTAATCGGGCAGCTATTAACGCGTCCTGCTCCTCTCTTAAAGCCTCGTCCCCCTCCTCCTCCCCCTCCTCGTCTCCATCCCCTTCCTCCGCCTCCTCCTCGTCTTCGCTCTCGCCTTCCGCGCTTCTATCCTCCGCCTCTTCCGCCTCTTCGTCCGCCTTCTCCCGCGCGGCCAGCGCCGCTGCCCGCTTCACTTCTGACAGGTACGACCGCGCAATGCGCAGGCGCTTCGCCTCCGCGCTCTCCGCCATGCGCGCATCCCCCCCCTCCCCTTCCGACCCAAGTTCCGCGTCCTCTTCCGCCGCCTCCTCCGCCCGCGCGAAAAACGACTCTTCCCGCTCCCCGTCGTCAATCAACTCGTTCCGCGCTCTTTTCCGCCCGGCTCCCCCTCCCCCCGCGCGACCTCTTCCACCAGAACCTGTTTTTCCGCCTCTTCCCCGCCCCCCGCTGCCCCCCGATCTCCCCCCACGTCCCCGCCCGCGGTCACCGCCGCGGGCGCGATACATCATGCCTACGCGATCCGCGGAGACGAATCACAGCACTCTTGCTTTTCCAACGCCGACTCACGCGACGCCCGGGAAATTATCTAAGCCGTCTGGTCAAGTCCTGCACCACCAAAACCACGACCACAGCTGCAGTGGCCGAAAGAGTGCAAGTCGGCCGGGTTGCGGGTTGAGGGAGAGCCTGGGTTTGGGTTTGGGGCTCGGAACGAGGCCTGGTGGCCCAGGGTTGGCTCGTTATTGCGAAAACCTCATTGATGAATGTAGATAATCAAATCTCACATAATCAAATTTGACTCATTGTCCTGTGTTTCCAAATTCCTTGAGATTATACAACCAAATACTCACTACATATTGAGTCAGCAATCGATCCAAGCAGTTAAAAAAACTGTGTTCGAAAATATGGAAATCTAGCAAACATCTAAACATGCAGTTCACCTCAATGAAAACAGAGAACAGAGAAGAAGACAAAGGGTTGTCTGCACTCTTAATATCTCACCTCACATCTTCCTGCCTGCATAGGACCCATATCTACTTCCACAGCTAGCTCCATGTACTCATCCCATCCCCTCAGCATCTCACAATGCAGTTCCGGACCAATCCCTCAGCACCCAACGATACAATACTGGCCTAACCCCTCAGCACCCCACGACGCAGTACTGGCCATTATCGGAGGGCCAAGTGCAGGAGGGCGGGCCAGCAGCATAGTCCGGCACGCGGGGGACAACCACCGCCGTGCCGCCAAAGAAGCAAGTGCCGGGCTGGTGGTTGTGGCGGTAGAAGTACGCAGTGAAGGCGTGAGACGCATGCGCTGCCAGCGCGCCATTTCCCTGCCAGCACGCCCCTCCTGGCAGTATGGGAGAGCAGTCGACCCCACCCGGCCCACACGCCCAGTCCAGTGCCCTCTGCACCGCCCCCATGTCTGCCGCACACCCACCCCTTCCCCCTCCGCCCCCACCCGGCGCCACCACACCTCTGGGAGGGTAATCCGGCTCGGGGGAGTATTGCGGGTATACCGGGTTCACAAGGCCCTGTGGGGGAGAGTATGGGTCAGGGATCTCCTGGCAGGCGGCGACACAGAACTGGCCGTTGGAGGACGGGAACGTGCAGGTGGCCGGGCCGGCAGCATAGTCGGGCACATGTGGGACGACGACGGCGTTGCCTCCGAAGAAGCAGGAGCCGGGGCGGTGTGCGTGGGAGTGGAAGATGGAGTTGAAGGCCACTGACGCGTGCAGGGCGAGGTTGCCGGGTTGGAAGCACGCGCCGCCCGGCTGGATGGAGGAGCAGTCTGCGCCCCCGGGCCCACACGCCCAGTTGAGTGCGTTGAGGAGTGAGCCGGGGGCGACGCCGCACCGCAGGTGGTGAGGGGTGGTGGTGGGCGGAGGGGTGGTGGGAGGAGTTGTGGAAGGGGGAGGGGTGGTTGGGGGAGTGGTAGTTGGGGGAGGGGTGGTGGGAGGAGTGGTGATAGGAGGAGGGGTGGTAGGAGGGGTGCTAGGAGGAGGGGTGCTAGGAGGAGCTGTGGTGGGAGGAGGGGTGGTGGGCGGCGTGGTGGGTGGGAGGACCGGGGGGATCGGGACGCCATCAGCAGGGGGGTCGTCAGGAGTGACGTCATCGGCATCACCATCACCAGCAGCACCATCATCTGTATCACCATCACCAGCAGAGCCATCATCTGTATCACCATCACCAGCAGCACCACCATCAGCACCACCATCAGCACCACCTTCCGCAGGGGGGCCAATAGGAGTGACATCGTCCGCATCACCATCATCGGCATCACCATCACCTGTAGAGCCACCAGCAGGGGGACCAACGGGAGTGGCGTCATCAGCATCAGCATCACTGGCATCACCATCATCGTATGATGCATCCCCTGCTGCTGGGTCCGGACTGCTCACTGCTCCTCCACTGCCTGTGCCACTGCCACTGCCGGTGCTACCAGTGCTGCCACCACTGCCGGTGCCACCAGTGCCGCCACTGCCACCGCTGCCAGCACCTGGAGTGGCAACCAGCCCGCCACCAGAGCTGCTGAAGCTTCCACCTCCGCTCCCAGACGCTCCCCCCGCACCCTGTCCCTGCGCCTGCCCCTGCCCTGTCGGTGCAACCAGGGTGCTGTGCTTTGCTGCCCTCGCCACTGACACGGCCACCACACCTCCTCCCACGGCTCGGGTTGGTTTGGCTCGGGCTGGCTTGGCTCGTGCCGTACCTGCGTGCTGGTTTGCTGCCACGTGGGCAGAGGGACTGGGCTTGCCGTTGTGGTGGCCTGGTGTGGCATGGGCCGAACCGCCGTGGTAGTTGCCCGGACGCTTCACCGGCTTGGCTTGGGAGCCCGAGCCTCGAGCCCCGGCTTGGCGCTTAACCTGCTTGGCTTGGGTAGCTTGGTTCGGAGGAACAGGCGTGGAAAGTGCCACGGCACGTGGCGGGCGGTGAGTAGCAGCAGCGCGGGGGACCATGGGCTTGAGTGCTGCGGCGCTGTCGCCAGTGTCAGAGGTGTAATAGTCGCCGCCAGTGGGGTAAACAGAGTCCTCAACATCAGAAGGTTCAGAGAAATAGTCGTCACCGCCTTTCTCATTGTCGATATTGTAGTCCATAGTCGCCCTCCCATGTGCTATCATCGCTGCTGTCATTGCTGCTGCCATCGCTGCCCGTACCATCGTCCCAGCCTCCCTCTGAATTGTCGTGCCAACCTCCGTTGGAACCATCGTCCGAGCCTCCCTCCGAGCCTACATCCCAGCCTCCCCCGGAACCATCATCCCAGACTCCACCCGAGCCGTCATCCCAGCCTGCATCCGAGCCATCGTACCACTTCGAGTCTGCAAAATCTTCCCACTCTCCACCCGAACCATCTATCCAACCTCCATCCGACCCATTAAGCCACTCTCCTTCTGACCCTCCTTCCGAGCCACCGTCCGAGGCATAGTCCGAGCCATAGTCCGAGCCAAAGTCCGAACCTCCCATCCTGCCGTTCTGCTCATCTATGGCGTCCAGCATCGGCCAATCACCGCCCGTCCTCTCCTCACTCACCGAGCCACTGTCCGAACCTGATCCCAAGTCAGTGTATCCCGCCAAAATCCCTCCCGGGGGACCTCCCATCTTCTCGTTTTGCTCCGCCATAGAGTCCAGTATCGGGTTACTATAACGAACCACACTGTGCTGACGAGGCGCCCGTCGACCGTGGCGCCCATGATGCTGTCGGCCGAGCCGCTGCATGCTATCGTAGGCCGGACCGCCGCCGCCGTCGGCACTGGAGGCGGCGCGAGGAACCTCCTCGAGAATTTCAACCTCGTCGCCGTCGCGGTCAGTCCCATCGAAAACTTTCACTGTCTGCCCCGTGCCGCGGTCAATCTCGAAAGTGCCACCATCACTGTCCGTTACTAGAAGCTCGCGCGGACGAAATCGATGCCCTCCGCCGAGCCTAGCCTGGTGCCCGGGCCTGCGAACGAGCCTCGGTGCGTGGCTCGTAACGAGCATCCTAGCTCGCGAATTCCAGGCTCGGCGAGTTTCTGGGCGCGGCAGCCGCCTGCGCGCGAAGCGGACGGCATCATGGATGGGCGGAGTAGTGGCGGAAGGGGGGGAAGGCGGAGGCGGAAGATCGGGGCTCGAGGCCGCGCGGAGATGGTGCTGATGCGCGATGTATGGGCGCAGCTGGTGGCTCGTGCGGTGCTGGCTGCTGTGTCTGCGCGCCGCGCTCGCCGGCATGGGCTCGGCGCGCGGGCCTGTTGCGTAGTACCGGCTCGGGAAGAACCTACCGCGGCCTGCGGCGGACTGGAGAGCGCATGCGACGAGTAGGAGGACGACCGCGACGCGTGCGGACGCCATGATTGCGACTAACCTAGCAGAGCAGTGCACTAATACTAATACCAAGATTGAGACGTACACTAACAGCGGTTACGATCCTTTGTCCCTCGTGAAAAAATCCTAAAGAAATCAGCAGATTTCTGTGGTTCCTGTTCCTCGTACAATGTACCAATGAGCTCTTGGAAGAGGCTGCTTCTAATGTTCGGATTTGCTTCCAAAAAGCCTAGCCTTGGGTTTTGAAGTGCGGGTGAAAGAGGGATGAGGGGAAGGAGGGAGACAAGCAGCAGCAAGAAAGCCCACGCATTGCTGGCAGCCAGTCGAGCCAATTTCGGCTCGCAGCGACTCCAGCGCAGCAAATGTCAAAATCGCTCCTCGTTCTTTGGCATCCGCGAAACAGCGCACTTCGTTGTCGCCTGACCTTGCCTTGGTGGAATTCGCTGCGATGAGTAACAAGGAGCTCGCGGAGTCGCCAGCACCACCCCTGACTGCTCTCGACTTTCGCTGGACCCGGCAGGAATGGGTTTGGCGACAACAAAGCTGCCACGTGTAGAAATATCCGCTTATGCGACTGCTTCACAAGTACTACCAGGTGAGCGCGACTTCGCAGGACTGACTGCGCCAGGCAACCCAGGGCCAAGCTAGAAGAGGGAAAACTGGTAATTGACCGCAGCGACTGGGCTGGCCAACGCTGGGCTCGTCGTGGTGGACGTGGAAAACGGGTCAACCGCTTCATATCCGCGATGTGAAATCCAGCGTGGAAAGGAATGCCAACCAGTTCTCGTTCTCGTTTTATGCTACTTCTACACTTTAGGATATGGTAGTATAACCATAGTAGACGTTTCGTAGATACTGGTGTTAGATTTAGAAACCTAATAGTGTTATATTCGCCTTATAATGTCGCACACAGTAGTAATGAATCGAAATTATATCAAAGTACGTTGCTACATATATCAGAAGTTATAGAGATATGGAAATAGGATTTCGCTGGTCACTAAATTTATAGCACCCGTCAACGTTTCCACGTATATCATCAGTATGGAGCCACGTCGTCTCAATCCACGAGGCACCATACTGACGATGCTTTTCTCGAGTACAGACTTCGTCACCCCTTTTCGTTTGGATAAACCTCTGATCCTCGTTTTGGCCATGATCGCCCTAGAATCTCCGCGTTCCATGTTCTCTGTCTCTGCTCCAGGCTGAAGTTTTCTCGCAGCTGTACGGTGGTTTGTCTAAAATAGTAGCTGAAAGTATTAGCCACTCCTCTTCAATATTATCAGAGCAGCCTGCTTCTTGTTGCACTATCAGCACTCCTAGATATCACCATTCTGTTCAAATAGACTCTGACATCCAGTGATCTCGCTCCTTTCCAGTCATGGCGTCAGCATTGACTCACATCGGAGGAATGCGTGTCGCCACCTTTCGCCCAGAACCCACCGCCACTCTCAGAACTCCCGCGAGCCAGGCTTCGTCCGTGTCATGGTTACCACCAGCCGGTATACGCCACTCCGTGTCGCGAGTTTCCGCGGTTTTCGTCGGCCCGCGTGGGTCCAGCCACGGCTGGTCGCACGGAAACAGCCGCTCGGCGCGCTTAGAGGTGACGGCGAGGGCGGGAGGCGCGCGGCCGCGGCCCGCCGGTGCGCGGCCGTCGCAACGGCCGCCGATGAGACGGCAGCAGCAACAGACGGAGGATAAGGACGGACCGCTGATGAACAGTGATATCAGGTGAGACGGACGGCTGATGAACAGTGATATCAGGTGAGACGGACCGCTGATGAACAGTGATATCAGGTGAGACGGACCGCTGATGAGCAGTGATATCAGCTGAGACGGACCGCATGCGAACAGTAGATCAGATGAGACGGAGCGTAGGCAAATGCTGGTATCAGGTAAGTAGCAGGCTAACAGTGCTTCCGGGCAAGCGGTTGTCATAAGGACTTCTGACATTAGGACGTGTGTGAAACTGATTGCAGTTCGAAAATGGGAACGAACTTAGAGTGGCAACCAGTTTCGTGCATGTTCGCAATGGCTTTCGCATACGCCATATGCACTTTGTTCCCACTGAACTCGAACCCCGAAAACTGAACAAGATTCGAGTATATGAGCAAACGTGGTTTTGCACGTTGAAGTGAACGTGTGTGGTGTCAGTCATGTACGACGAGTGGCGAATCTGACGAAATCCTGCGACGCAATAAAACCTCCGCCGAGAACCACAGTCGGTATGTTGACGTGGCGCGATGTCTACGGAATTATACCTGGTAACCTAGATCCCCTACGAGCGGCTCGGCGCACCCCCTATAAGGTCGAACATTCGAATTGGACCTTGGGTGTGTGATTTGACATACCTGAAAATGTTTTGTGCGGTTCAAACTTCACGTTCAGCGGAAGTCGAACACTGTTCGGCTCAAGTTCAAATGCTACATTCGACCAAAAAAATGTAAACTTAGCCTATTTCCAGAATCTCACACGTCCTTAGGTGAAACAACCCAGGCTTGGTTAGGTCAGAAGTCCATCCATGAGCGATCGACGGGACCAATGCAGCGCGCTGCGGTTCCTCGTGACGCCAATCTCGGATGCAATGCATCGTAGCCCGTGGAACGCTCGCCTCGGGGTTGTCGCGACGCGCGGCGTTGTCGCGCAACGCGCGCCGTCGGTGACCGTCTGGTTAAAAAATAGTTGGAAGGTTCGAATCCGCAAAGTTTCAACGGAGGCTTGATGTTTCGCAGCGAACTTAGGGCGACAAGGGTGAAGCCGATCAGGTGTGCGAGCATTTCGCCGCACATGGCGCGAGTTGTCGGCGGCGGCAGCAGCAGGCTTTAGAGCCTCGGCTTGACGCGCTATCTCGACGACAAGAGTCGCAAGAGAGCTTGTTGACGCGCCTCTGAATGCCAAGGTTGAGTCGCCGCGCTGTTGCAGCGCTGTTCGTGTGAGGGGCTTGGGGGCGGGGGTCAATGCAAGCGTGTGGTCAATGCAAGCGTGCGGGGGTCAATGATAGGGTGCGGGGATTGCACGAAGCACGGAAACGACGACGGGATGCGTGTGGGTGCGTGTGGGACGTCGTAAAAAAACTCCCTCCATTTTCCCACGCGGATCTCGCAGCACCTGCTCTGCTGCACTGACCTTCCGATGGCCAGTCGACTCAACAGTCATCATGCTCGCACCGCGAGGTTGAGCGCTCCTCCTCCCCCTTGTCTTGCATGCTCGTGGATTCCCCCACGGTCGACGATCCTATTCTGCTGCTCTCCCTGCTCCTCATCCCTCGTGGCATCCATTCACCATGCCCCATGCACCGTGCACCACGTGCCATTTACCATGCACCATTTACCATGCACCATTTACCATGCACCATGTGCCATTCACCATGCACCATGCACCGTACATTATACATACACCATGCACCATGGACCATATATTGCATGCACCATTCACAATGCACCATCCGCCATGCACCAGCCACCATGCATGCATCTACCCGGTATCTCACAACCGTTTTGCACCCATCCGCGTGGCAGGGTGCCCACGCTGCGGCTGTTGGCAGAGGACCAGAGCCTGGTGAGCACCGCACAGCACTGCACAGCACCGCACTGCCTAGTCAGCTATAAGGATTCTTTTTGCTTCCGACCTTTTCTCCTGCACCAGTGCATAGTTGCCAATTCATTAATGCGTTAAAATATGTAACACGCATTTGTATATATATATATATTGATTGCATTTGAGCATATATATAAATGTATATATATATATATATACGTTCTGTATGTTTTTGTTTGTTTTTGTGTGTGTGTGTGTGCGTGCGTGCGTGCGTGCATGTGTGTGTGTGTGTGTGTGTGTGTGTGTGTTTATACATGTATGTATATATATATATATATACATACATATATAAACACACACACACACACACAAAAAGACCAAAAAGACCATCATGTTTTTATCATATATGTGTATACACTTTCCCGTCTTGCACCTGCCATTTCCTGATTGCACTGTCATTCTTTTGATTCCCTGTCCTTTATGACTGTAACTGTAACCGCGGGTGTGGCCGTGGCCATTTATCTCATGTCCATGACTGTTAATCACTGTGTATGTGACTCTCCCTCTCCCTCTCCCTCTCCCGCTTCCTCTTCCTCTTCCCCTCCCTCTCCCACTGCCTCTTCCTCTCCTCTCCTCTCCTTCTCTCTCTGCCTGCCTGTGCCTGCCCTGTATCTGCCTGTGCCTGCCTGTATCTGCCTGTGCCTGCCTGTATCTGCCTGTGCCTGCCTGTATCTGCCTGTGCCTGCCTGTATCTGCCTGTGCCTGCCTGTATCTGCCTGTGCCTGCCTGTATCTGCCTGTGCCTGCCTGTATCTGCCTGTGCCTGCCTGTATCTGCCTGTGCCTGCCTGTATCTGCCTGTGCCTGCCTGTATCTGCCTGTGCCTGCCTGTATCTGCCTGTGCCTGCCTGTATCTGCCTGTGCCTGCCTGTATCTGCCTGTGCCTGCCTGTATCTGCCTGTGCCTGCCTGTATCTGCCTGTGCCTGCCTGTATCTGCCTGTGCCTGCCTGTATCTGCCTGTGCCTGCCTGTATCTGCCTGTGCCTGCCTGTATCTGCCTGTGCCTGCCTGTATCTGCCTGTGCCTGCCTGTATCTGCCTGTGCCTGCCTGTATCTGCCTGTGCCTGCCTGTATCTGCCTGTGCCTGCCTGTATCTGCCTGTGCCTGCCTGTATCTGCCTGTGCCTGCCTGTATCTGCCTGTGCCTGCCTGTATCTGCCTGTGCCTGCCTGTATCTGCCTGTGCCTGCCTGTATCTGCCTGTGCCTGCCTGTATCTGCCTGTGCCTGCCTGTATCTGCCTGTGCCTGCCTGTATCTGCCTGTGCCTGCCTGTATCTGCCTGTGCCTGCCTGTATCTGCCTGTGCCTGCCTGTATCTGCCTGTGCCTGCCTGTATCTGCCTGTGCCTGCCTGTATCTGCCTGTGCCTGCCTGTATCTGCCTGTGCCTGCCTGTGCCTGCCTGTATCTGCCTGTGCCTGCCTGTATCTGCCTGTGCCTGCCTGTATCTGCCTGTGCCTGCCTGTATCTGCCTGTGCCTGCCTGTATCTGCCTGTGCCTGCCTGTATCTGCCTGTGCCTGCCTGTATCTGCCTGTGCCTGCCTGTATCTGCCTGTGCCTGCCTGTATCTGCCTGTGCCTGCCTGTATCTGCCTGTGCCTGCCTGTATCTGCCTGTGCCTGCCTGTATCTGCCTGTGCCTGCCTGTATCTGCCTGTGCCTGCCTGTATCTGCCTGTGCCTGCCTGTATCTGCCTGTGCCTGCCTGTATCTGCCTGTGCCTGCCTGTATCTGCCTGTGCCTGCCTGTATCTGCCTGTGCCTGCCTGTATCTGCCTGTGCCTGCCTGTATCTGCCTGTGCCTGCCTGTATCTGCCTGTGCCTGCCTGTATCTGCCTGTGCCTGCCTGTATCTGCCTGTGCCTGCCTGTATCTGCCTGTGCCTGCCTGTATCTGCCTGTGCCTGCCTGTATCTGCCTGTGCCTGCCTGTATCTGCCTGTGCCTGCCTGTATCTGCCTGTGCCTGCCTGTATCTGCCTGTGCCTGCCTGTATCTGCCTGTGCCTGCCTGTATCTGCCTGTGCCTGCCTGTATCTGCCTGTGCCTGCCTGTATCTGCCTGTGCCTGCCTGTATCTGCCTGTGCCTGCCTGTATCTGCCTGTGCCTGCCTGTATCTGCCTGTGCCTGCCTGTATCTGCCTGTGCCTGCCTGTATCTGCCTGTGCCTGCCTGTATCTGCCTGTGCCTGCCTGTATCTGCCTGTGCCTGCCTGTATCTGCCTGTGCCTGCCTGTATCTGCCTGTGCCTGCCTGTATCTGCCTGTGCCTGCCTGTATCTGCCTGTGCCTGCCTGTATCTGCCTGTGCCTGCCTGTATCTGCCTGTGCCTGCCTGTATCTGCCTGTGCCTGCCTGTATCTGCCTGTGCCTGCCTGTATCTGCCTGTGCCTGCCTGTATCTGCCTGTGCCTGCCTGTATCTGCCTGTGCCTGCCTGTATCTGCCTGTGCCTGCCTGTATCTGCCTGTGCCTGCCTGTATCTGCCTGTGCCTGCCTGTATCTGCCTGTGCCTGCCTGTCCCCGCGTGTCTGTGAGCAGCTGGGGATAGTATCGAGAGAGGAGGCGCTTTCTAAGGCCCGAGAGGCCGGGCTTGACCTGGTGAGTCGGTGCTGGGCTGTGCTGAGGCATGTTGAGGCGTGCTGAGGCGTGCTGGGGTGTGTTGGGGTGTGCTGGGGTGTGTGGAGGCGAGGCCACCCAAAGGCTAGAGATGCAGGTTTTTGTCCTGGCGAGTGGATGTTGCAGGAGCATCGTGAGTTGGTGCTGTGACGCTGTGAGCCGCGCTTTATAACTGTCCTGCTCTATCCACTCATTGCTCTGCTGTACGCTTGCCTTCCCTATCACCTGCTGCTCTCCCTTACTCTCCCCTGCTTCCCCCTCCCCTACCCTCTCCTACCCCCCCTGCCCCCCCCCCCCTGTCCCCCCTTGGCCCCCCCCGCTCTCCCCTACCCTCCCCTACCCTCTCCTGTCGTCCCCTATTCCCCCCTGCCCCATCTGCTCTCCCAACCTGCCATGCATGCTGTCTGTCATGCGAGCAGGTGATGATAGCGGCGGATGCCAAGCCCACTGTGGCACGTATCCACTTATTTATCCCCTTATGCACATTCCTGCCCTGCCCTGCCCTGCCCTGCCCTGCCCTGCCCTGCCCTGCCCTGCCCTGCCCTGCCCTGCCCTGCCCTGCCCTGCCCTGCCCTGCCCTGCCCTGCCCTGCCCTGCCCTGCCCTGCCACGTCCCGCCCCGCCCTTTCCCGCCATGCATGCTGTGGTGAGAGCAGGTGATGATAGCAGCGGATGCCAAACCCCCTGTGGCACGCATCATGGACTACAGGTGAGTGCTCAGTGCTCAGTGCTCGGTGCTCAGTGCTCGGTGCTCGGTGCTCAGTGCTCGGTGCTCACCCTCTCACACGGGCTAGTGGTCAAGAGACCTACTGACATTGTAGTGATTGCATGTGGGTGTGCGGAAGTTTGAGTGTGCTGTTTCCCTTCAGCTCCCTCTCAGCCTCGAGTCGACTCAAAGGTCACCTTCTGTGTGCTATTTCCCTGTCTTGCTTCCTGTTGTTGACTGCTTCATCTCACCTGTTTCATCCTCGTTACAGCAAGTTCCGCTACGAGCAGCAGAAGAAGAAGCGCGAGCAACAGAAGAAGGCTGCTGCCAGCCGCCAGGAGATCAAGGAGCTCAAGATGAGGTCAGCTCCCTCACTCACTCCCTCCCTCACTCACTCCCTCACTCCCTCAATCACTCTCACTCACTCCCTCGCTCACTCTCTCCCTCGATCATACTCATCCACTTCCTCAACCAACCTCACTCACTCCCTCACTCCGTCCTCGAAGTGATTTGAGTCTCTTATGGCAAGCCCTAGTACCTGGGTGTACCTGAGAATTCTCAAGACTTCAAAGAATTCTCAAAGATGTGCCACACACGATGGCAAACACGCCTCCGTCTCTTCCCACCACTTTCTGCAAGTGCATGTTACATTCGAATTGCATGTCATTACTCCCTCACTTCCCTCCTGCACTCCCTTGCTTCCTCCTTCTGATCTTCCTCTTGACAAGCCATTCGCCCACTGCCGTCTTGACAAGCGGTGTATTGAGTGCCCGTTTGTCTTTCCTTCACTAAGCTGATTCCCTTCTCCACGCCCCCCTCCCTTCCTATCTTCCCCAGGTACTGCGTTCACACCGGGGATTACAACGTGCGTGTCAAGGTGTGAGTGAGTGTGAGGCATTCGTCCCTTGAATCCCCTCGCCTTGTGTCTCTTCCCCCTCACCCCTCTTGTCACCGGGTGCAACATGGACACGGGGGATTACAACGTGCGTCCCAAGTGTGGGTGAGCACAAGGCTTTTGTTTCTTCACTTCCCTCCATCCCTTTGCGCCACTTGCTGTTCTCCCCCCACCAGGTACAACATTGACACGGGCGATTACAACGTGCGCCTCAAGCAGGCTCTCAAATTCCTGCACGACGGAGATAAGGTGCGATGTGTGTTGGTGATGTGGGGTGATGCGTGGTGGTGTGATAAGGGGTGATGTACGGTGATGATGAGGGGTGATGCATGGTGGTGGTGAGGATGATGCACGGTGGTGAAAAGGGTTGATGCACGACGGCGTTAGGTGCGATGCGTGATGGCGATATGGGGTTATGGGTGGTGTGGAAAAGGGCTGGACGCATTTTGGCGATAAGGGTTGACGCCTGACGGCAAGAATAAGATGCGATGCATGACGGCAACAAGGGGCGATGCATGATGATGGGGATGCGTTGAATTGCATGGTGACTATGTGAGCTACAGAGAACGTTTCCACAGAGAACTTCCCAATCCTCCTTTGCTCCTGCTCCTGCTCCCCTCGCTTGCTCCCTGCCCTTCCTTAGCGCTTCCCTCCCCCTCTCTACTCATCTCCCCGGCCACCACTCCTTTCCTGGGTGTGTGTGTATGGCAGGTGAAGCTGACAGCGCAGTTCAGGGGGCACGAGATGGACTTGAAGGAGCTGGGAGAACAATTCCACAGAATTCGTCCCCATTCCTCCTCTGCCCCTCCTCCCCTCCCTTGCTTCCTGGGTGTCCGTGGTTTTTGTGCGAGGGCAGGTGAAGCTGACAGCGCAGTTCAGGGGGCGCGAGATGGAGTTCAAGGAGCTGGGGGTGAAGCTCTTTGAGAAGTTCCAACACGACGTGGCTGAGGTGAGCATGACGTGGCTGAGGTGAGCATGACGTGGCTGAGGTGAGCATGACGTGGCTGAGGTGAGCATGACGTGGCTGAGGTGAGCATGACGTGGCTGAGGTGAGCATGACGTGGCTGAGGTGAGCATGACGTGGCTGAGGTGAGCATGACGTGGCTGAGGTGAGCATGACGTGGCTGAGGTGAGCATGACGTGGCTGAGGTGAGCATGACGTGGCTGAGGTGAGAATGACGTGGCTGAGGTGAGCATGACGTGGCTGAGGTGAGCATGACGTGGCTGAGGTGAGCATGACGTGGCTGAGGTGAGCATGACGTGGCTGATGTGAGCTCAACCATCTCTCTCCCCTCCATGTACCACTGGTCAAGTCCATTGCCCCTCTCAGTGCTGTTCCACTCACATGGCTTTTCCTTTCACCCAACAAAGCTTCTTTCCCTTTCTGCATGCTCACGTGTCTTGTGCACACATCATCCTCTTCCTAACGGCCCCGCCCTACAGCTGGCAATTGTGGAGTCGAAGGCACATCTGGAGAGGCGGTCGATGCACATGGCCCAACAAAGCCACACTCACCCCCCTCACCCTCCAAGCATATGCTTCTTGTCCTCTCCCACTTGCGTCCACCTCGCGGCCTCCTTCCAGCTGGCTATTGTGGAGTCCAATGCCCACCTGGAGGGGCGGTGGATGCACATGGTGCTGGCGCCCAACAAGACCGAAGTCAACCCCCTCACTTCAATGCACATGCCTCTCCTACTCATGTCTTCCCCTCCCTTTGCAGCTGGCAATCGTGGAGTCCAAAGCCCATCTGGAGGGGCGGTCGATGCACATGGTGCTGGCACCCAACAAGGCTGCTCTGCAGCGCATAGCGGCCGCCGAGGAGAAGAGCCGCCGCGCCGCAGAGCGCAGCAAGCGGACCGAGGCGCGCGGAGGGGCGGTGTCTGGGAGCGAGAGTGACGGCGGGGAGAGAGCGGGGGAGAGTGATGTGGAGAGCGATGGGGAGGAGGTGGCAGGAGGTGCGAGGGAGCAGAATGGGCAGCAATAGGTTGCGTGGGAAGATTCGGGCGAAGCTTGGTGGTTAGTCTGGGTTGAGTGTTCCCATACAAAGGGGTGAAAATAGTTAAGGTAGCCAGCATCTGTATTTTTCTTTCCTTTTGAAGGTTTCCTCGCCTAACTAGGCTTAGTTGTTTGCGTCCACTCACTCTTTTCTGTACAACTCGTAACAGTTACTGCTCGTAACAGTTACTGTAATGCAACCCTCGCTGGTTTGGCGAAGCCAGCTCTGACCAATTTGCACGTGACCGTTGTTGGCGTGGCGTGGCGATTGGTCTTCCCTTGTACATCTCATCATAGCTTAGGGCGCGTCAGTCCCCCACGCATTTGCGAAATTGTCTTTTGGCCGCTTTTTCGTCGACCATTTTTGGTCGACATTTCTTTCGCGAACAACGCCCAAATGGTCGACTTCAAGACGACACGAATTCGGCCAGCTTTTGCAACAACTGCAAATTTGACAGGTTTGCTGGCCGATTTGCAGGCCGCAACACGAAAGTGTAAAATCTGCAGTCGCCCATCTGGCCGGGTTCGTGCGACTGCGTCGCACACGTGAATTTTGAACACGTGTCTCACGCTCAGTCGCTGGTAACTGTGTGCGACGTGCCAGAACTCTGTCGCACCGACGCGTCGGAATCGTGGCCGGTTTGCCGTCCACCCGGCTTCGTTTCCGAAAATCGGCCATCAAATCGGCCATCAAATTCGCGACATGACAAAAAATATTGCGAAGGTCGCAAACTTTTACTGTCGCCAAGCGGGCCCGACGGATTTCCCAAATTTTGAATGTCGCGCGAATTGACGCGCCCTTAGCAGCCGATACTGGATTTCGGTTTCTGGTTACTGCTGCTTGACTAAGGGACACCCATCGAGAGAATCGTTGTATTGTAATGTACCGCTTACGACTCTTGTAGAGGTCGTTTGTGGATTCCCTTGAACACTGACGACTCTTGTAGACGTCGCTTGTGGATTCCCTTGAACACTAAGTCACATCAGTCACAGCCCGAAAGATGGAGTTCACAGCCTAGGCAAGAACTGGTGACGACTCGAACAGTAGTCACTACTGACCCACACGACCGCGCAAAAATCTCCGAGACCATCGCGGAACAACCAGCAACGCCAGCGAAGCAGAGAACAGGAAGCAAACGCCGGGGAGGAGAGGGAGGGAGGCAAGGGGAAGGCAGGACTTGGCCGCTTTGCCATTCCGCATCTTCTGGTTTCACGAGGTACCACCCTGTCTTGTGCTCTCGACGAGGATACAAATCCCGCGAGTGCATCGAGCATTATCTCGTTTCTCTCACAACCACCGCCATTCCCCTGTTCCTACTGTCGTTGTTCGTCATGGCTTCTAAAAAATATCACTCGTCGTTCCGCGAGCACCGATCTGAGAAACAACAGCCGTTGCATTCTGAAGTACATTGTTCTCGATTATGGGCTGTCCTCCTATCATTGCTCCTCCTCACTCTACCCGTTCTCTCCCGCCGCACCAACGCCGGTGAGTGAGCACACGGCCACGCACCTCTGCACCTCTGCTTGTCCTATTTTCGAGGCATGGACTCGTAGCATCCTGTCGTCTAGTTCGCTCCCTCGCGCTCTCCCATTCCACTGGCCCTGCTCTCCCAACCCGCAGCTGATCCTTTCTAAATCATTAGTATTGATTACAATGATTGTGCTGCCCCTTCTCCCTCCTCCCTCCTTCCTCCTCCCTCCTCCCTCCCCCTCCCCTACTCTACAGGCCCCCCGTACAACTCATGCCTGCGCTCCCTCAAATCCCACTCCCATCTCCCATCTGAAATCTCTGTGATCTGCCCTCTTCTCCTTGTCCTTCCCAGCCTCCCGCAGAGGTGACTTTTGAGTCGACTCAAAAGTCTGCCCTCTTCTCCTTGTCCTTCCCAGCCTCCCGCAGCTTCCTCCGCGCCCCTTGATTGTCCAACTACCACGCTCCCTTAACTCCCTCAAACTGGCGTGCTGTAATGCCGCACCGCTCCAAAGCATTCTCTTACCCCTTTACCCCATCCCCCGCAGCCTCTCCCCCCGATGCCTCCGCGTTCTACATCGTCCGCCTGCGCTCCCTCCCATTCTTTACCCCTAGCTCCCAAATCCCATCTCCCATCTCCCCTCTTCTCCTTGCCTTTCCCCCCATCCCCCGCAGCTTCCCCCCGCCATGCCTCCGCGCTCTACATCGTCCGCCTTCGTTCCGCCCCGCCCATCGCGTCGTACCGCGGGGGAATCCCCGGCTACCCGGCAACGGCCGCGTGGGCCAGCGACCCGAACGGCAACTCGAAAGATGCGACAGCAGACGATCCAGCCAACGGTACTGACGGCGCAGCTCCCTCAAATTCCTCAACGGCCGCGTGGGCCAGCGACCCTAACGGCATCTTGACAGATGCGACGGCAGACGACCCTAACGGCAACTCGCCAGGCACCGCCGCATCAGACCACCACACCGGCGATGGCGTCGGCACTGCGTCTGGTGCTTCTGTCACTGCTGCGGCTGCGGCCACTACTCGCGGTTCAGGAGGGACCAGCCGTCGGCTGCGGCGGCCGCGGGTGAACGTGAGGGCGCCGGGCGTGAGGGCGTTCAAGCAGCTGCTGCAGCGCATGCAGCAGGCCGTGCTGAGAGACAGCGGGGTGGCCGCGGGGAAGATGATCTATAGGTGAGGGGAACGATGGGAATAAGGGGGACTTCATTGTGTAAGAAGATGGTGTATAGGTGAGGGGAGGATGGTGCACGGGTGAGGGGAAGATGGTCTACAGGTGAGCGTGAGAGGACTGTGACAAAACAGGAATAGTGATAGCTGCTAATGCACTTGTTCTTCCTGTTCTTCACCTGCACGCCCTCTCCCATCTCCCCCTGCTTCCTTCCCTCGTCTTCCCCTCCCCGCCCTCCCCCCCAGCTACGTGCACGCGTCGAACGGCTTTGCAGCGATCCGCGCCCCTTTCATCCCCTGCCCACCTTCCCTTTTCTTCCCCTTGCGCGCCCTTGCTCCCTTCCCATCCCCTCAGCTACATGCACGCGTCGAACGGCTTCGCAGCGATCCTCACGGCAGCGCAGGTGCAGCGCATGAGGCGGCACCCCTCTGTGGCGTCCGTGACGCCGTCTCGCACCATCACACGCCGCCGTGCTGTCACTGCCGCCGCCGACGGGCACAAGTCTCTCAACCTGCCCCACGCCCGCACTGCTGGTGCTGCCTCTCCCGCTGCTGCTGCTGCTGCTGCCGCTGCTGCTGCTCCGGCTGGAGTGTCGAGTGACGGTGAAGGCACGGTGATTGGGATTGTGGACAGCGGTGTGTGGCCGGAGCACCCCTCCTTTGATGACACGGTACGTTCACAGCCGAGCATTGCTGGGCGCCTCTCACCTTATGAGCTGATGCTGCTGCTGCTGCTGCTGCCGCTGCTGCTGCCACTGCTGTCGGAGAGACTAGCAGTGGTGTTGTTGATGGTGCTGTTAGCTCCTTCCTTCCCTCACCATCCTTGACCCCGTGTCCTCCCTCTATCCCCATGTTCCTTTTTTTTCCACCTCGCCGCTCCCTCCCTTCTCCCTTCCTTTCCTTAGCATCCCCTTTGGTTCCCTCTTTCCCATCCTTTCATCTCTGCCTCCCCGTCCCACCGCAACAGACGACTATCGTCACCAGCTTTTTTTCCAATCAATTGCCCCTCCACCCTCCTCGTCCCCGCCAGGGCTACAGCAGCACGCTCCCTGCCGGGTGGGCGGGCACGTGTCCCACTACAAGCGACTTCGCTTGTAACAACAAGATCATCGGAGGGGGGGAGTTTCACGCGGGGTTAGAGAAGAGCAGGTATAGCGACTGGTTCGACCCCACCCTCAACTGGCTGTCCCCGCGGGATTCTGATGGCCATGGCACTTGGTGTGCTGGGTGAGTGCTGGGACGTGCTGTGCGTGCAGCAGGGATGTGTGGTGAGCGTAGGGGTTTGAGAGCAGGTGTAGAGACGGTCTCAACCCCACTCTTGACTGGATGTCCCCGCGGGACTCTGATGGCCATGGCACTTGGTGTGCCGAGTGAGTGTAAGGATGTGCGGTGAGTGTAGCAGCGATGTGCGGTGAGTGTAAGGATGTGCGGTGAGTGTAAGGATGTGCGAAGGATGTGCGGTGAGTGCAGGGACGTGTGGTGACATGTGTGGTGAGTGTATGCAGTAGCAGTATGCAGGCAGCAACAGCAGGCAAATAGCGGTTGCAGGAAGCAGCAGCAGCAGGCAAGTGGCAGCAGCAGGCAAGCGACAGCAGCAGGCAAGCGGCAGCAGCAGGCAAGCGGCAGCAGGGGAAGTGCCAGTGGCGATGCCATGGCCTTGCATGGTATTTTTTTTGGAATTCTCAAGAAACACACGCTGCATGGTATGGTGTGGTCTGCCTTGGGATTGCACAGCACGTGGCGTGTTAGATAGTAGTTTGGCAGAGAGGGGGGAGAAGAATATGCATGTGGCGTGGCCAGGACATTCCCGTCCCGTCCCTTCATAGCCGCTCCTTCCATTCACTTCATACCCATGTCGCCCCTCTTTCAGAGCGGCAGCGGGCAACAGCGGCGTGAGCATGCCTGGCTGGGACACGGTCAGTGGCGTGGCTCCCAAGGCACGCCTGGCCATCTACAAGGTGTACTGGCACAGCACGCGTACTTACGACATGCGCGCTTCAGAAACAGACGTCTTTGCAGCCGTTGATCGGGCCGTGGCGGACGGTGTGGATGTGCTGACCCTGTCGCTGGATCTCTCGTCGAACGGAAAGATTATGGGCGACGACAAGGCCACCGGAGCCTACTTTGACGATGTGCCTTTCCTCGGCGCCCTTGCGGTGGGTGTCAGGGGCGTGCGGTGGGTGTGGTGTGGCTTAGCTGGTTGGCCCTAGCATGTTTTTGGATTCACGTGCATGCGAGTGCGGGGGTATTCTTGAATGTGAATTCGCATGCAACTCACCGCTTTCTACCCTCCCTCCCTCCCTCCCTCCCTCCCTCCCTCCCTCCCTCCCTCCCTCCCTCCCTCCCTCCCTCCAACCGGGCTATTTGTAGAATTAGCAGTAGGCAACAACACCTGCCCGTCACCGACACCTGAGATTCACCGACACCTGAGATTCACCGACACCTGAGATTCACCGACACCTGAGATTCACCGACACCTGAGATTCACCGACACCTGAGATTCACCGACACCTGAGATTCACCGACACCTGAGATTCACCGACACCTGAGATTCACCGACACCTGAGATTCAGCAATTTGAAACCTTTCAACCCTTTGCCCCTCTCAGTCCTCATTCTCGCCTCTTCTCCCCCCGCCTTTTCCCCCACCCCCTCCTTCAGGCCGGAGTGACTGTGGTCCTGGCAGTGGGCAACGGTGGAGAGGCCCAGTTCCATTACATGTATGGGACTCTCAAGTGTATCGGCAACTTTGCACCCTTGTATATCAGCGTGGGGGCAAGGTGAGAGTGAGGAGCGCTCATATCAGCATGAGAATGAAGAGTGGCTGAGGTTGCATTGCGTCCTCATGCTCTTACGGAGGACGGCCCCATGCATGCTCTGCAACGGGTGACATGAGATGCTATCACCCTCTACTGCTACATTCATGACATGCCATGAGTGCATGTGCACGCGTTGTCCTTTGCAGGCAAGGCAAGGTACGTGCTTGTTTGTTCTACACGCTGCAGCTTTGCGCTGCACTTATTTTTCCTCCTCTTTTTCTTCCCTTGAATCATGCGTTTTCCCATGCTCCCGTCCCTCGTCTTGCATCTCTCCCTCGTCTTGCATCTCCTGCTGCCCTTCTCATGCTTACACACACCTTCCATGCCTCACCATGCAGTACACTGCCTCAGGCTTCCCTCACCTCAACATCAACATCAACAGCAGCAGCAGCAGCAGCAGCGGTAGAATCTCCAGCAAACACCACAGGCCCAGCAGCATCAACACAGCTGGGAACCCCACTCCCTGCCACCATCTCCCCAGCAGACACCGCCCTCCCCATGGTTCCCACCTGGTCCTCCACCGGCCCTCTCACCAAACCCGGCTGTTCGTTATGCCGCCCACAGAAGCTCCTCCGGCGCGCCAACGCCATTCTCAAGCCAGACATCATCGCCCCGGGAACCAGCATCCTTGCAGCTAGGCCCGGGCAAACGGTCGGCGAGACGGGGTCGTTTAGCGGTTATGGTGAGGAAACTGCCATCTCTGCGGCGCTTGTTGCTGGTGTGGCTGCTCTGATCGTCCAGCAGCATCCTGATTGGTCGCCCGCGCAGGTCATGTCTGCAATGATGACGACAGCTGGCCGCACTGACAGCAGCAACAGAGTGATTCGGAATGTGAATGGGGAACCGGCAACGCCCTGGCAGATGGGAGCGGGGCATGTGTTTCCTGCTAGGGCGCTTGACCCCGGGCTGACCTACGATGCCGGGGAGCAAGATTTTCTGAATTTCCTTGCTTGGCTGAACATGAAGCTGGCTCGGAGGGTGTTGGGGCCGGTGCAACTGACACCCGTTCCTCCCAGGCATCTGAACCGGCCTTATATAATGCTGGTCAACATAGTGAATAATCTCACCGCCAGGCGGACTGTGACGAGCGTCTCAGACACCACATTGACCTACAGGGTGAGGGTTAACGCCCCTGAGGCTGTGAGAGTGAGGGTGGTGCCATCGCAGTTTACCATAGCGCCGGGGCAACGGGTCAGTTTCACGGTGAAGGTTGTGGTGAGGAGGAAGTTCAAAAGGTTCAAGTACGGCAGCCTCACGTGGGAGGATGACAAGGGGCACTCTGTGCGCTCGGTTCTTGTTCTCCATTGCAAACCTAATTGTGTGTACTATTGCTAGATCATTAAGTTGTGTCAATCAGTTGTGCGTCGTGCAGGCATAATGTATTTTTATTACATACAACTTCTCAAATCTGAGGGTACCAGTACATTCCCACTAGTTACGCTTTGATTGGCGCATTCCAAACATGACAGCTTTATGAAATGAAGGCCTTGGAATTGCAGTATGTTTAAAGAGCATCGCTGGCCCTTGAGTGAGTTTGGCTCCCGTCTTGGGAGGGAGTTATGGTACTGTGGTCCCCCAAGTTTCCAACTCATGAGTTTTTCCCCTCCTACCTGCAGGGGCGAAGCGGGGGAGAGATGGGAGGGGGACCCGACCCACCCACCACCCACCACCCTACACGACACTCTTCGCAGCAGCAAAGCAACAGTTTGTTCGCACCTCCCAACCACAGACAGGGTACCTTATGTGTACAAGCAAGTGATAAACCTTGGCTTCTTTGCCCCCCAAAGTGCACTGGCACTTTAACTTGTAGTGTTGGCATGTGAATGGCGTGCCAGGGATGCCATTCCTTTTGTACACACTTCCTGACTGCTGCGTGCCGGAAAGGAAACACAAGATTCGAAACATGCGGGACAGTCAGCGTAGTACCGTAAACCCAGAAAAGAAACGCCAAGCCTGTTAAACAACATCTTTAGAGGCGCGGTGAGGCGAGGCGAGGCGAGGCGAGGCGAGGCGAGGCGAGGCGAGGCGAGGCGCGGCGAGGCGCGGCGCGGCGCCTGAAAACTGCCTGTCAAGCAACAGCTGCGCAGCAACAGCTCGATTCCGCAATCGCACACCGGTACCGTACCTTCCAACCCCCCACTCCCTCCTCCTCCCACCACCTCCCCTCCCCCCTGCCTTCCCACCTTTCGTTCACCTCTTCCCTTCCCCCTTCTCCACCATACCCTCTGAACCACTCTTGCTTGTTGGTAACCCCACCACTGTTTTCCGCACACTGCTGCCTTAGAAAAGGAGCTCGCATGAGTTCATTCATTGCTTGCCTTGCCGCCTCCCCCTCTCTCCACCTCCAAGCCCTTGCTGCTGCCCCCTGCTCCAGCTCCCCCTCGTGTGGCCTGCTCCACCTCTCCCGCTGCCAGCCTCAGCACCTCCCACACCATTTCCCCCCCCCCCCCCCCCCCTTCCCTCCTTTTGCCAGCTTCAAAATGTAATACCCATGCGTTCACTTCACTGCTTGCCGACTCCCCCTCCTTCCACCTCCGCTCCCTCCGCACCACCCTTGCTGCTGCCCCCTCCTCCCTCTGCCCCTCGTGTGGCGGCCTCCACCTCTCCCACTGCCAGCCGCAGCACCTCCCACACTGCCGCTCGCTGCCTGCCCCATGGGAGGTGCGGCAGAGCGAGGAGAGAGGAGGCAGAGTGAGGAGGGAGATGGGGCAGAGTGAGTAGGGATGAGGTGGGGAAGAGTGAGGAGGGAGGAGGTGGGGCAACGTGAGGAGGGAGGAGGTGGGGCAACGTGAGGAGGGAGGAGGTGGGGCAACGTGAGGAGGGAGGAGGTGGGGCAACGTGAGGAGCGAGGCACGGAAGAGGCACGGAAGAGCACACCAACAACAAAGGCATGGAAGAGGCACGGAAGAGGCACGGAAGAGGCACGGAAGAGGCACGGAAGAGGCACGGAAGAGGCACGGAAGAGGGAGGCGGGAGGTGGACACACCAATAGCAAAGGCAGTCGGCCATGGCGGAACGTGTTGGTTTGCAAAGCTGAAGGAGATTTGAAGAAAAGAAATCACGACAAGGATTCACGTGCCACGGAACTCAGAAGGAGCAGAGGGATAAGACGGGAAAAAGGGAATGTGCTCAAGGGTGATCAGGGGTGCGGTGCGGTGCTCAGAGGTACTCACTCCTTGATGCCTTGTAAGGACTGCTTTCGCATCTCGAGCTGCGTCTTGAGTATGTGTGTTAGCGTTGCCCGCGCCTGGAGACGAGGGGGGGGCAGATGAGATGCAACGCGGAGGAGGGGTTAAGGCATGCAGTGTGGAGGTGACGCACTGCGTTGCATTGACTGCTTTCGCATCTCCCGCTGCGTCTTGAGTATGTGTGTTAGTGTTGCCCTCGCCTGGTGAGGGAGAGAGATGAGGTGCAGCAGAGGAGGGGATAAGGCATGTAGTGCAGAGGAGGGGATAAGGCAGGAAGTGCAGATGAGTGGATAAGGCATGAATTGCAGAGGAGGGGATAAGGCATGCAGTGCACCTGGTGAGGGCACTGAGGGCGGCTGCAGTGCACCTGGTGGGGGCGGAGCGAGTTGAGGAGGAAGTGCAGGTTGGTGAAGAGAAGCGAGATGTCCTCCACACACCGCCCTGCCTGTGCTTGTGAGACCACACACACACCACATGCCCATATAACCACATGACCCCAGCCCACCCAGCACCGCGCAGAGCACCTAGTGGGAGCACCTGATGAGGACGCAGCGAGTTGAGGAGGAAGTGCAGGTTGGTGAAGAGCAGTGAGATGTCCTCCACACACCGCCCTGCCTGTGATGGCCGCTCCACCAGCACGTCTGCCAGCTCCAACACCAGCAGGCCCAATTCCCGGCCCAATGCTTTCAGCTCTGCACGTGTGTCTGGCAAAAGGGCAAGGGAATGGGAGGTGAGTGGGTATGATGGCCGCTCCACCAGCACGTCCGCCAGCTCCAGCACCAGCAGGCCTAATTCCCGCCCCAGTGCCTTCAGCTCTGCACGAGTGTCTGAAGAAGCGCACGGGAAGGGGGAGGTGAGTGGGTATGATGGCCGCTCCACCAGCACGTCCGCTCCGCCAGCTCCAACACCAGTAGGCCCAACTCACGACCAAGCGCCTTCAGCTCAGCGCGTGTGTCTGAAAAGGGGGGGGTTGAGTGGGTGGGCATAGCGGCCTGACGGTCGCTCTACCAGCACGTCCGCCAGCTCCAGCACCAGCAGCCCCAGCTCACGCCCCAACGCTTTCATCTCAGCGCGTGTGTCTGCAAGGGGACAAGACAAGGCAGGGGCGGAGGAGAGGAGAGGGCTGGGCATGACAGGCGCTCCACCAGCACGCCTGCCAGCTGCAGCACCAGCGGGCCCAGCTCCAGGCCAACACCAGCGGGCCCAGCTCCAGGCCAAGCGCCTTCAGCTCTGCACGCGTGTCTGGGAGGGAGGGGATGGTGGGTGGTCGAAGAGAGAAAGGGCATAGCGGCATGGTTCAACTGTGACAGTCGCGCCACCAGCACGCCCGCCAGCTCCATGCAGCACCAGCAGTCCCAGCTCCCGCCCCAGTGCCTTTTAACTCTGCACGTGTGTCTGGGAGGACAGGGCAGGGCAGGAGAAGGGATATGCTTCAGTGGCTCACAGTCGCTCCACCAGCACGTCTGTCAGCTCCAGTCCAGCACCAGTAGCCCCAGCTCGCGCCCCAACGCGTTCAGCTCTGCACGTGTGTCTGCAGGTGCAGGGGGCATGACAAGGCAGGGGAGGAGGAGGGGCCTGAGTGCATCACGGTCGCTCCACCCGCACGTCTGTCTGCCAGCCAGCTCCCATCCAGCACCAGTAGCCCCAGCTCGCGCCCCAGTGCCTTTAGTTCTGCACGTGCGTGTGCGGGAGGGAGAGGGTGGGGAGAGGGAAAGGTGACCGGGTGGAGAGGAGGGGAGGCCTGAGCATGGCAGTCTGCTGCAGATTGTTTTTGAGAATTCTCAAAAACAATCTGCGGCAGTCTGCCAGCTGCAGCACCGGCAGCCCCAGCTCACGCCCCAGTGCCTAGCTCTGCACGCACACGTCTGGGGGGGGCCGGTGAGAGGGTGGCTGGAGAAGGACATAGCGACGTGAATGCAGCGCCACAGGCGCACCCACCCACCCGCCAGCTCCACTGCTTCAGCCACTGCTGTGCTTCAGCCACTGCTGTGCTTCAGCCCCTGCTGTGCTTCAGCCACTGCTGTGCTTCAGCCACTGCTGTGCTTCAGCCCCTGCTGTGCTTCAGCCCCTGCTGTGCTTCAGCCCCTGCTGTGCTTCAGCCCCTGCTGTGCTTCAGCCCCTGCTGTGCTTCAGCCCCTGCTGTGCTTCAGCCACTGCTGTGCTTCAGCCCCTGCTGTGCTTCAGCCCCTGCTGTGCTTCAGCCACTGCTGTGCTTCAGCCCCTGCTGTGCTTCAGCCCCTGCTGTGCTTCAGCCCCTGCTGTGCTTCAGCCCCTGCTGTGCTTCAGCCCCTGCTGTGCTTCAGCCCCTGCTGTGCTTCAGCCCCTGCTGTGCTTCAGCCCCTGCTGTGCTTCAGCCCCTGCTGTGCTTCAGCCCCTGCTGTGCTTCAGCCCCTGCTGTGCTTCAGCCCCTGCTGTGCTTCAGCCCCTGCTGTGCTTCAGCCACTGCTGTGCTTCAGCCACTGCTGTGCTTCAGCCACTGCTGTGCTTCAGCCACTGCTGTGCTTCAGCCACTGCTGTGCTTCAGCCACTGCTGTGCTTCAGCCACTGCTGTGCTTCAGCCACTGCTGTGCTTCAGCCACTGCTGTGCTTCAGCCACTGCTGTGCTTCAGCCACTGCTGTGCTTCAGCCACTGCTGTGCTTCAGCCACTGCTGTGCTTCAGCCCCTGCTGCATGCGTTTTTTTAGGCGCCTGAAGAATCCGCGAAAACTGAGGCGACTTTTTTGGGCGCCTCAAAATGCAGCACCACACCCACCCACCCACCCACCCGCCCGCCCCTCCACTTTTTCGGCACCAGCTGCATGCGTGCCCCATGGCTTCCCAGTCCGGCCCTGCGTGTGCGGTGAGGGATACGGCAACGGCGGAGGAGCAACATGAAGGCAGCAGTGGAGCACGGCATGACTGTAACGCATATCACATATTCCCAGCTCATGCCCGCTCATGCCAGCTCATGCACTACCAGGCCTGGATTCCGCCTGTGCCATGCGCTCGCTCAGAGAGTTTTGTTTTTTACATATATATATATATATATACACACAAAAAAAATGTTGAGAGTTCTCGCTGATGTTCGTGCTGTAAGGGAACAGCTGTCGCACGCCTTTTGAGGCTTTTGAGGCGCCTCAAAAGGAGTGATAGTTGAGAGGTCTCACTGATGTTCTTGGTGGAGGGGAACAGCTGTCGCACGCCCTGCTCCTCCAGGCTCGGCAGCCGATCCTCCGTCTGCATTGCATTGCATTGCATGGCATCGACGGAGCAATGCGCAATGCCATGCGCACGGGAGCAAGGGGCGAGAGAGCAGGGGGGCGAGAGAGCAGGGGGGCGAGAGAGCAGGGGGGCGAGCGAGCAGGGGGGCGAGCGAGCAGGGAAGAAAGATGAGCGGGGAAGCCAATACGGCAACAGAGATGAAGAGGAACAAATCAACACATCCCAATGCTGTGTAGTAGGGTCACAAGGAATGGACCTAGACTGTGTAATAGGGAACCCTGGCTCTGCTGCGCACAGGCTAACAAGCATTTTCAAACACAGCACGGACCTTGTTGCAAACAATTTTGAGACTAGATGGTTCCAAATGCACTTGAGCCGCTATTATCCATTGTGTAGAGGAAAATCACGCAGTCAGTGACTCGGCACACAACAGAGCGTGGAAGCCTCAAGCGTTAGCAAGGGACTCAAAGGGACCGACCGAGTCTCTAGAATACTCACCGTCCCCCCGTGTGGCTGCGTGTGGACTATACGTCCCGTAGCCCTTGAATTCCTTCCTTGTGCATGTGCGTGCCTGTGCGTGCCTGTGCGTGGCTGCGCGTGGCTGCGCGTGGCTGCGCGTGGCTGCGCGTGCCTTGTGCGTGCCTGTGCGTGCCTTGTGCGTCCGATACCAACATCAACCGACCGTCCGCAGAGCGTACGTTTCAAGCGCCACAAGAGCTGCGTTCACGCACGTTGTACGGGGCTCCGAAGGACACGTAGTTGCCTGTGATGGCGGGAGGCGGGGGCGGGCCGCCTGTGCGCGTGTGAGGGTCGTACGCGACATAGAGCTTGTAGTAGGGCGGCGGGGGAGGGTACGTCGACGCCGTCGCTTCCATTCGGAACTCTCGGAGCGCCAAGAAGACGACTATTGAGTTTCGATGTGAACGGGAGGACACGGCCGGCACCTCAATAGTACGTCGACGCTGTCGCGCCCATCGGAAATCCTATGAGCTACGACGCCGGCGAATCACGCGGGGCACGGAAGTTGGTGACGTGTCGCTGATGTGGAGCGACTGGGAGTTTAAGAAGTGAATGGATTAGTATGGTAGCTTCGGAACGAGAGGAAAGGGTGGGTGTGAGCTTCCGTATTCAGCTAGAATACTCATTCGGGCGAGGATTATGGACAGGAAGTTGCGTTGATTTGATTGCCCGCCTGGATCTTTTGTAAAAGAAGAGAGTGCCCAGAATGCAATATCGCGGAATTGATTACAACAAGTCTCGAAATAATGAGACCTCGTTCCTGGCTCGTGTCAAGCTTTGGGCATTACGGGACACGGGCATTTTTTTTGTCGGAAGACCCGAGTTTGGTCTCGGACGACACAAAGTGGGTCCAACTTCCGGTCATCCGCGGATGACACGAAGCTTGACACGAGCCAGGATTGCGCCCCTAGCACTGATATAGCGGAGTTTAGAAGGTGTCTCAAGTACCTGGTCCGCTACGAGCCGGTCCGTTGCCAGAATGTGCGTGCCTGGTCCGGAGTTCTGGTCCGACGGACCCAGTTCGCAGACCAGGCGTGGGCCAGACACGGACTGGTCCGTATGATGCATCGCGTCGCGGGCTGTACAGTTTTTGCGAGTTGAAACAGTAGTGACGAGATTCAAACATGGTATAATCTAGTTACCTTTTTTCTGTGCAAGGTAAATTTCCCCATCCCGTCGATCACGAAATTCACGAAGGACGTGCACTTTCGAGAATACATGTGGGAGGTGCAACAGTTTCGGACCAGCCACAGGCTGGTCTGCCGACCAGATCAATGGCACCGATGTAGTGCCATTCGAAATTTAATAACAGGGGTTAAACTCCCGCATCCCGGACCAGTCCGTCGCTGGTTCACGTGGTAGTTTTCGAGCTGGTCCGTCGGGTCCGCTTCGGTTTCACGTGAACCCGCGCATTTGAGACACGTCCTTAGCTAGGCCGAGGACGCGGAGCCGCGCATGGTCGGGTGCAGGTTCGGGGTTGGAAAACCCGGAGGCGACGTGAAATACGTCGGAGGGCGAGGTCATCGGACCGAGCCTGAAACTCTGAGGACGCGTCACCTCTTTCAAAAATGGGAAGCTAGAAGCGGAATCGGTGCTGAACACAGATCCCGCCAAGATCGGTGTGCACATCGGTGTGCCCAAATGCAATTTTGCGATCGTGGTGCTCCACTGAGCCACAGGTGACAAGATCGAAAATTCATCGGACAAAATTGTACGATCGCCATGATTGGACTATCGATCGCCAACTCTTGGCACATCGATTGCGTGAGCCCTAGGTGTCACCTTCTTGGTGACCAATTTACAGTACATTCCCGAATTTTCTCGAAAACTAGAAACCTTGCACTTCGCCAAATCACGGAAGCACTGTACACCTGACACACCGATTGTGAGCATGATCGATCGCCCTCCTGAAAAAAGAGGTGACGCGTCCTGAAAGTTGGAGTTGTAAGCGTATGGGCTGCCCCGGTAAGGAATTAGGCAAAATTCATTACACTACCCCCTCTTAAGGAATGTGGTCAATATCAGGTACGCATCAGCAAGAAAGATAATTCCGCAATACTGAGTGGCCTTGTAGTGAGTCAGCTGGGAGTCACGTGTCATCTTCGCTTGTACGATCCACCCGTCGGAGTAGAAAATCCAATTGTCGTCACGTTGGTGTCGCACGAATGCAATGAGCCCGAATCTTCCCGGGCTAAATGTCAGGAATACTAGGAGTGGGGCCTAGGCTTAGTAGCCTAGGCCCACACTAAGAGGTAGTAGGATGTGCCCTAGGACTAGGGTTTTGGGTATGCGAAGGAGAATGGTGAGAATGAGGTGGTTGAACTAGCAAGAGTTGGGATACAAGT